CAAGGCTATATTTTCCGTATTTTACAACATTTCGCAACCAAACTTTGCAATAATTTACTTATTTTAGTATGCTCTTGCTAGCTGTGGTGATTTATTTGCATCAAGGCCGGATTTTGAGGGGAGGTGTGGAGAGGTGCGCACCTCCCCTGAGATCGTTTTGCACCTCCCCTGAGAATTTTTCCACCTCTCCTGAAAGGTCATGCACCTCCCCTTGGGAAAGTTTCAATGATGGAACAAAGTGAAAATGTGATGGTTGCTTAGGATCTACACTTCGTGACGTAAGAAAGTTTTCTCTGTATAATTGAAACAGTGATAGCCATTCATCTCTGTGTCAAGTACCCTTTTGATGCAATGTTTTGAAAGAAACTTTGTAGCAATTGTAATGAAGGGCAAGATTGGAGTCATATACATTCATAATTCATTAATACACCGGTACATATGTACACTACATGCATACCTCACCTCGTTGATATTGGCCTGTCCTACAATAAGCCCTAACTTTCCATGGGAGTTGTCAGCTAGACCGCTGCACCTCCCCTAAAATTTTTTTCCACCTCCCCCACTATTTTCACCAAAATCCGTCCTAGTTCTAAAATTAGTCTATAATGGGGATTGTCTATTTACATGAACATAAGAGACTTTTTATTTGGCTTCCATTTATGAATATTGAAGGTCTATAAACATTGTTATTTGTTAAGTTGTTTTGTGATACATTTTTAAAACTACTAATGTTTTTTCAAACTGGTAAATATTTTCGAAACCCCCCTTCTTTCGTCTCTTTGTATTTTTTCAAAGCCCCCCTTTCAGGTTTTAAAAAATTTAAAGGCCCCCAGTTTCTCCTCAATCCCCCTGTACAATAAATAATGAGCGGTCCCTTAGGGTAGACAAAAGTTGTCAAAAATTAAGACACTCCAGATTTGATCATTTCTTGGGGAAACATGCCCACGGATCACCTCCCCAAATTGAGTTTATCTGCCATGTCTCTCGCCCAACAGTTACTCTTTTAGATTCCCTTAATATTTGAGTTCCGAGTCGAGTATTCGTGAACCGCCGGAAGCTATTATCCGCCATTAGTATAATTACATAGGTGATTATTGAAAATTCTCCACGCTGATTGGTTGCCGTTGAGGTGATTATTACGCGATAATCGCCTAAGCGATTTTCAAAATGGCGGCCGAAGCCGTTTTGTCAATTAAATGACGAAGAAATGTCTATTTTTAATTTTTTTTCTAAATAATCACCTATGAAATTATACTAAAACAATTATTCACCTCAGGCTCGGTGATTATCGTGAATAAAAATATCGACTTCGTCTCGGTTTTTATTCACCGATAATCACCTCGCCTTCGGCGAATAAATGTTAATTAGTGGTTGTCGTTATTCGCAATCTTTCGGGCAAAAAGCCCCGCTCATTTTCGTAGAATACACCAACGACTAAACATTCTACCACTTACTTTGAGCTAAACGAAGGAATATATGACTGTTTTGTGCTAGAAATCCAAATGGAAAAGGTCCTAAAAGACATGCAAATTCGTTCAACCACAGAGGAGAGACTACACAGAGGTGGAACTCAGTCAAACAAGTGTAACCGGCCGCCGAAAGCTTAGCCAGTGCGCAAAGAAAAGCCCCCCCCCCCCCCCGAATACAAATTTCTAGATGGCGCTGTCACAGTGTTACCCAGTGAAATCTGTTACCTCTACGATACCTGGAACTTAATGCCTATCGCAGTACGGGCAGAATTTCCCTTGTTTTGATAAAAGCGTGGACTTTTGTGCCAAATTAGAAAGCGGTCATCTTGACACGCTTCGTTAACTACCGGCATGCCAATTTGCGCTCATGAATGAAAATCTAACTAAACATTGATATAGATTTTATACTTATAAGTATTCGAATTGATTTCGTATCATTTCAAACAAAACTGATTGAAACTAGTATATATTATAAATACAGTATTCGGCATGGGTCTTGATGTCGATTTCGTGTCTGTAAAATGAGGTGCATTTCAGGACTAAAAAGATTAAAAATTACTATAAAGACTAAAAATAAATATAACTATATAAAGACTAAAAATTACTATAAAGAACAAAACTGGATAATTCAATTTCCTAATTTTCAAAATTTTCTGCAAACAAATTCAAAAAGATGATTTTATATATCAAAAACATAAACGGCATCACTCTCCAGACGGTCGCCCTGTTGACATCGATGGAAATTCTGCCGGTACTGCGATAGACATTAACCTCCAGGTATCATAAAGGAATGTTATCCGAGGGGTAACATGTTTCATGGGGTAACACCAGGACCTACGAGAGCTTTTCGGGGGGCCGGGGCAAATTTGTTTCGGGGGCCCTATTAATTTTCCGGATAATAACGTTTCTTCCCCCATCCCTTACCAAATTTCGGTATTTTGCCCAGAAAACACAAATATTTCGCCCAAAAAACAGAAATATTTCGCCCGAAAAATGACTGGGGCCCCATAAAAAATGACTAGGGCCTCCCTGAGTCGGGCTTCAAACACGACTACAAATTCAATAGATATACGACCTTATTAGTATTGTTTATATAAAGAACACTAATAAGGACACGACTACAATAGATACTGCCTTATTAGTATTCTTTATAAAGAATACTAATTAGGAGTGTTTTATCAGGTTTAAAGCCACTGCACGTGACATATTATGGTTGACATGATTTGCCAATAACCTTATGAATTATTAATGAGTGTTTGAAGGTATAATAACTTTATGTGCAGCTGGATTTCATTGTCTTTAATATTTTGTGAAATACTTGAAACTATAGCAGTATGGCACCCTGTTTATAATAGCGATAAAAATCATAAAACTTGACTTAAGTTAAGGATGTTGGGTTTTTTACATTTCAAACACACTATTATTTAAAACATATGATGTACGTAGTCAAATTTAACATCGTTCAGGTTTGCTATTCTTTAAAAGAATTTTGATTAGAGTTTCTGAATGAGATACAGAAACAATGTGAAAGTTGGGTATTCTTTACTTTCATCAAGGGGAGAGAACTGACGCGCGCTTAATGGGTTAACTGGCCTATCTGCACATTTGTCTAGTTAACTCATTAAGTCGCATTGTGCCCTACTTTATTAATTTACTCTGTCTAACGCCAGATGATTTTACTTGTCGAGGGGAGAGCGCTTAATATTTTAAAAGTATAGAATATAATTTATAATAGTAGATAACATTGCCATTGGATGTAGAAATTGAAGAAAAATATAACATTCAAACAATGCAAACAGCGTATCTTTTCAGTTTTCAATATATCCACATTTATCAAATGTTCATATTTTACCATTATTTGTCTGACAGAAATACATTTTTAAGTCATTAGTCATGAGGTTTTTTCATAATAGATTAACGCAAGCCCAATCAAATGTCATTTTAACTTCTTATAGGGGTTTTTATTCTATGTACAAACAATTACATGGCAAAGCCTTTACCAGTATGCCACTATAGGATTGCTTGACAGTGTGGTCTTATTTTTGCATGACAATAAATTGTGAAATGAGATGAATAGTTTGGAGGATGCCATGATTGTTTAAAAATTTAATTGGGGAACTTTGCTTTTCTGTGACTTTACTATACTCTTGCCAAGAATATGATATTCAAAATACCTTCCCTATGGGCCTATGATCGTAGTGGCAACATATCAACCTGGGCACGAGGTGAAAAATTATCTTGTATTTTGGAAATATCATCATCACCTGGCAATGCTCCCAAAGTTTAAGACACTTGTGCATTGATCGATTTATGCCTCCCAACCCTCAGGGAATTTTATTTTACTAATTCTGCCTGAGGGTGAGGACATTTGGATTGAAAATGTGTAGCACAACAATTAAATGCTCCACATCATCTTTGAAAATGTTTGTGTGTTTAACAAATAGTTTCAGCCCAACAGTTGGGCATTTGCTTGCATGAAACTGGTATTTGTATTGGATTGTTTAATTAAATAAAAACTCAAATGCCCCAAATGTAAACCTGAACCCCACTCTCGGACTTAACATTGATAGGTGCATAATCCATGCTGATAATACTAACCCCTTGAAAAAACTGGAGGCCAACACTTGGGGGCTTAGAGACAAATTCTTCAGGAGAGCCTTTACATGATGATGCAGAAGCCAATGGCTATTATTACATTACAGGAAACAAAAACCTGAATCTACAGATTCACTTCTCACACTCTGGCCCATAGCCTCATCACTTCTACATGTACCTCCAGGGGAAGTGAAATTGTCACATGTGATTTGTTCCTTTTATGGTGCATACGGCTCAAGATTTTTACAGAGTCAGTGAAAATGTCCAACGTTTATTCAACCATTAATTCACCCTCTACCCCAACACATGCCAACCTCGTACCCAGGTTCTCAATATTCTTTCCTACCTCGCTTGAATTGAGACCCAGATATCGGCTGGTCACGTGTGACAGTGTTATATGTTTCTTTTATATTTGAACAACTCTCGCGTACGATTTATTACATGTGAATAACTATTGCACAATGTTGTACCTTATATACCAACTATTAACATAAATTACATATACAAAATATCTATGAATATATTACATCTCCGTCTTTTTGTTGTTTTGAGTGTTTTCTTAAAATGTTCTTAAGCAATAGTTAAATTGTTCAACTAACCAGAATAGAAATTGTTTACAGTCTCCGTACACCAAATAATCTGAAAATCGTTTCGGTTTTGTAACTATCCGACCCGATCGTGTCTTCAATACTGGCGTTGTCGGAGCTTGCACTAATGAATTCTCTTCTTTCGACTCTTCGCTTGGCGATCGTTCAACAACTGTGTTTTGTTGGCGACATTCTGTTGCTTTCTTCACCGGACTTGGTATTTCAATCAAATTTCTTTATTTCTTCTATAAACACATCCGTCAGGCGTTTCAACATGGTAAGATCTGGGAGCTTGATCGCGGTCAATGACAGTTGCTGGTTGCCAAGTTTTACCACGGTATATTCGCACTTGGTCTCCTTTATGCAAAGGTTTCCGAGCCTTTGCAGAACGATCATAATAGTGTTCTTGTTCAATCTTTCGTTTTGTTAAGCAATTCTGTACGTGTTGACGGTTAAGGATCTTTGGAACCAACTGTTTACTTGTGGTTGGTAGATCTGTCCGCAATCTCCTATTCATCAACTGTTGGGCAGGAGAACCAGCATCAGATACAGGAGTATTCCTGTAGCAGACTTAGATACGGATATTCTCCATTCACTTTCGCCTTCTGCAAGAGATTCTTCACTGTTTGAACCGTACGTTCAGCTAGTCCGTTAGACTGTGGATAGACTGGAGAAGAGGTTTTGTGTTGGAAACCCCATTTACCTGCAAAATCTTTATAGTCCTGGGGACCGTTATCTGATATCACCACTTCAGGTGTACCATGACGAGCAAAAATAGATTTACTGTGTTGAATTACGGTAGCGCTCTTTATAGAAGACAACAAACAAATCTCGAAAAAATTGCTATAGTAGTCCACTAGGAGTAGATAATTTGCACCGTTCCACCAAAACAAATCCGTCCCCACCATTTGCCATGGACGACTTGGAATGCAGTGAGGAAGCAACGGTTCTCTTTGTGGAAAGTTTTGATATTCTTGACAAGTTGAACATCTTGATACGTGATCCTTTATTTTTTCGCCATGCCAGGCCAATACAAAACATCCAGAAATCTCTGGATACCCATGTGTCCAGTATGTATCCTCATTAACATTTCCTGACGCATAGGTTTCGGAATGATGATTTTCGCTCCTTTGAACATGATCCGATCAATTTCTGTGATTTCATTACGCCAGTACCAATAGCACCGCGCTAGTGCTGGTGTTTCTTTGAGGGACTCGGGCCACCCATGTTTCATGCAACGTTGAAGTTGTTGTAACTCTTCATCACGCTTCGTAGAATATCGTATTTCTTCCATTTTACCATCAGATACGGGCATTTCCTTTACAATATACTTTCAACGTAAGATTCTAAATATAGAGCTTCCGATGGATTTTCTTCACTGGCACCACTCCGCGATAGTGTGTCCGCAACTGGAATGTTCTTTCCAGGTACCGGGGGTTTTTCATGTGAATATGACCGGGGGTGCGCTGATAGGGCGCACCCCTCAGAAATTCTGTCGATTAACTGCCATTATCCTATAAGTTTTATTTTTAGTAAGTTTTATCTTTCTTTAACCAAAAATAACAAAAAAGTTAAATTCATATCCAAAATGCTGTTTTTTGGCCCCATTGAATATGACCGCCTATACAAAAATGGCGAATATAGCTTATATTTTACCCATTTTGGTTATATTTTGTAAAGAGATAACAAAACATTTTGGATGTGATATTTTTTCGGTCTTTTACATTGAAAAGACATACTTTTATGTTATAGCATATCTCAGATGTCCATAAACTAGGGTTGGGCGATATTAGAAAAATCATCTCACGATTATTGTCAAGGAAATTATCACGATATTCGATAATATCGCGATAAATGCAATAAAAACAATGACCACATTTTTCAATTTTAATTAATATCAAAGTATAGTAAGCTTATATATAATCTTATTAAAAACAAGTAAAACAACAAATTAAAGTAATATGAAGCCTTTTTCTAGTCTAATATTTACTCATGGTCATAAACCAGCGCAAGAAAAGCCTGTAATTTCAATGTTCAGCCGATTGATAAAATACTAGCTTTGGTATCGTATTAATTTCGTATTTAATTCAGGAAATAGTTTTAATTCTTTTAAAAACTATATTTTCTAGGAATTGAACTAATTTTTTTAGGATTTTATAAAAGCTATATACACATGCGAAGCAATATCACGATAGTCAACGGCCACAACGATAATTTCGATATATCGTCGCTCAAGTTTCTACCTTCGATACGATAATCGCGATTGAAAATATCGCGATAAATCAAAATATCGAAATATCGCCCAACCCTACCATAAACACCACTATTTTACTTTCCAAGTTGGCATTTCTGTGCCATATGAAAAGACATACAACTGAAACTTACCTGTCTCTCATATAAACAATCCAAATCATTTTCAAGTTTCAACATCATTGATTTTACCTTCATATCGCTGCGACAGTGTCATTGTTGTAATGTTCCATAAATCGCACAGTATTCGCAATTGTGCATTCTGTTGAAACTCTAGCACTTTTTGTTGGCATAACGTCTTTAGTGTAAACATAAAACATTACACTGAATTCGACCAACAAAAGTTTGTAGAAAAAATACGAAATGGCAGCCATGTTCTATACCAATATACTATGTGTTATAACCATGAAGTGTAAGGCAGGTGAGCTACGAGCTACGAGCCTGCAGTATAGTTTTGAAAACACAATATATTTTCTTTGAAAATCATGGCAATCAGTCTGAACTTTATGCAAAAGTTTTACTCTCAATTGGAAAATTTCTTGTACGAAAGTGTTCAATATATAATGCATCACACACGTTTGGTGCTTGCTGGAAGACAGGGAGATGTTATGCCTTGAAGGTACAAAGAAATATGTGTATTTGAATATATAAAAATATTATAAATATATGATATAAGTATTGTATAGTATGCTATATTATATGTTATACTATATTTTACTATTTTATATAATATATTATGGATATTTTACTTTGCATATCATGTGTAATAATCCATTTTTATATGTTCTCTAATTCTATTATGTTATTTATGTCCTGCGAAGTGATTCAGTCAAAAAATACTGTCCAACCCACATTTTCCCATTTTTGGCCCCGACACCTTGTTTGACAAATGTCGGCAAACGTCCGGATAACTTTGAATTTTCAGAAAAATTTTTTCGCAGTTATAAGCAGAGGAAAAATATTAAAAGTCATGAAAGCACAGGCAAATGGGATAATTTGTTCAGGAATGACGGATAAATATTTATATGTTAACGGTCACGTTATACCTCTGTAGACGGATTCTCATTCTCTGAACTTTCAATGGGGTGACTTGCAGAAGTTTTTTCATGATTATTTCTAAAGGTTTGTGGTCTGTTTCTGGTAATGGTGGAACTTCTCGCATCCAAAGACTAACGCTAATGCTTCTTTCTTTATTTGAGCGTATGCTTGCTGGGTTGGAGTTAAAGCTTTCGAAGCATATGCCACAGGTTTCCCATCTTGTAGAAGCACAGCTCCTAGCCCTGACTGGGAAGCATCCTCTTGCACTGTGACATATTTACCAGTATCATAAAACTTCAGAACTGGACCTGGAACTTGCGTTATGATATTCTTAATTTCGGTAAATGCAGCTTGGTGTTCCGGACACCAATTCCAATGTGTATCTTTCTTCACCAACTCTCTCAGGAGTTGCAGTTTTCTCCGACAGATGTGGTGAATACTGAGCCAAGTAGGTGAACATGCCTAGCTGACTCTCCAATTCTTTCTTGTTTTGCGGTGACGTCATATTTCTAACCGCTGCCACTTTGAAAGGGTGGGGCTTCAGACCATCTTTCGTTATCAGCTCACCAAAGAATTTAACTTCACTTGAACATTTCTGAATCTTCTTTGGATTAAACGTTACCCCGTTCCGTCTCGCGGCCGTCAAAGTCGCACGTAGCCTCTCGTCGTGCTCTTCTCTTGTTGATCCCGACACAAGTATGTCATCAACAATCACGTGGACACCAGGCAATTCTCCAAATACAGCTAAAAGACTTCTCAATCGATATTATTTGTGTGTAGCGAAGTTTGGTACGAATCAGCTGAAATCTCTGAAGACACCGTCTATCTTTTCTAAGATATATTGATAGCCTATTTCTGGAGATTTTCAACCACAGGCAAAGCTGCATCCAAGCTGCATCTAGGCGTCTCCATGCAAGTGGTGATTCACACGAAATTTGCTTTCTCTCGTCATGAACAATATGGCTATTGCCTTTAATATTTAGTTTAAATATGCTCTTATAGATCTGACTTAGTTCGATATAAATAAACACAAATATAAAACTTCGCGTAACCTGTTTACGCTGTACAGGAATATACGGATTCGCTTGTTTCGCCGGACACCAACACTTGCCGTTCAGGAGCAATGCTTGCTTACAAATTTTATCCCCTTCACAATCTTTGTTTTATTTTATCGTATAATCGCAATTTTCAAGTATTTGGGGTATTCTGAAATTGTAAAACTCGGTGGCGTGACGAATCTTGTAGAGCGGACTACATCGGCTTAGCCCTGGGCGTAGAGCTATTAAATAAATAGGGCCTAAATTAATTTAGTAGTTTCATTTAATTGTTTGTCTTGCTTTTATTTGTCAGTATAGAATATTGTAAATTAAAATATTACTACAATGGCGCAATACGCGTAGTATTTCATCAGACATCTGCATTACATTATAAATACTGTACAAGGAAAACTGACAGCTGAAATAATAGTAGACGTTTCTTGTTTTGGCATGCAGGCTCACGTCTCAGCTCACGTCGACACGGCGTTTGAGTTTTGTAACCGGCCGAGACGAAAGTAACTGATCATGCAGTCGGGAAAACGTCTTACTTTGAAAGATTATTTTGCAAAACATACTCGTACACACAAGAATCATAAAAATACTAGAAAATACATGCATGCAGAAACCCTTGCCTTGCTGACAAAACCATTGTATTTTCCGAACATGAAGTATCTAAAGTAGTTGTCATGGTAACACGATAATTTTTTAAGAATATTCTTACAAATGAAAAATCGCCTAAAAATATCACTTTTAATTACAAAATTATTAATTTCACAATATATATATGTTAGGTATGTTATTATACGTAATATAAAGCTCAATTTAAGGTAAAATTCAACCACAAACGCTTCGCAAAACGTTTTAAAGTCACTAGTGTTCTTTATAAAACTAAACTGCCTTTTATAAAAATGGCTTTATCGATAAACTTTGAGTTTGCAATAAAATGATTTCAGATTCTCGCCTGCAAATAACTTTGCTTTCTTTTTTATTTAAAAAATTCAATATCATAAAAAAGGGAATCAATATTAAAGATACACTGAAATTATATGCTGTCTTGTTTAGCTGTTTCATATACGCAAAGGCCGTCGGGTTTTAAAGCCATTATAAATAAAATCAATATTTAAAAGAAACTTACCTTCGTAAACGTCGGCTCCCTTCTTTTAGCCGATTCTTTCGCAGTTTCTTTCTGAGAGAGCTGTTGAAATTTACAAAATCTTGCAAAACTGCGAGCAAAAATGAAATATATTTGCAAGAAATTTATCAATCATCAAATCAAGAAATGTTTGCTATTTCGCTGTCGTCATGCAGTCGTTATAATGCAAACTTTAAATTGAACCAATCAGTGTCCGCTATTCATGACAGTCCGCCATATTTTTGAGATCAGTGAGGATGACCACCCACCCAACACCCCAACATCGTTGGTGACCCACGCCCGCGATAATTGATGAACTTTAGACTTCGCTAATGCTTTCGTTTCTCCGGGTGTAAATAGCTGGGGGGAATTAGTACCCTCGCACGGCGCTTCGCGCCGTCGGCTTGGGGACAAATGTTGAATCGTTATTGTCAACTGTCAAGTTCAGTTATTTTTAGACTAGAAAATACATGCATGCAGAAACCCTCGCCTTGCTGACAAAACCATTGTATTTTCCGAACATGAAGTATCTAAAGTGGTTGTCATGGTAACACGATAATTTTTTAAGAATATTCTTACAAATGAAAAATCGCCTAAAAATATCACTTTTAATTACAAAATTATTAATTTCCCAACATATATATGTTAGGTATGTTATTATACGTAATATAAGCCTCAATTTAAGGTAAAATTCAACCACAAACGCTTCGCAAAACGTTTTCAAAGTCACTATAGTGTTATGAAATTAAACTGCCTTTTAAAATGGCTTTATCGATAAACTTTGAGTTTGCAAATAACTTTGCTTTCTTTCTTATTTAAACTAGAAATACATGCATGCAATAACCCCTCGCCTGTTTTCAAAAGATATATACTCAGTGCCGTTGCGAGCACTTCGTCGCAGGGTGTGTGTGTGGTTAGATAGAGGGGGGGGGTTACCAAAAAGTTTCCAGATGTACAAAAAATTTTCAGGACATATAATAATTTTTCCGAAAATACACTTGTTTTCCAAATTCACTTTCTCAGTCATGTCCTGAGAATTACCTGAATTCCCCTGAAAATCTTCTGCAAATCTACTTAAATGTAGGTACTAAAAGTGCACTGGAAATCTACCTGAAATTCATCATGAGCAATAATCAGGGGTGTTGCACCCCCCCCCCCCAGTGAGTTCCAAGCAAACACTCTCTGATTTATTGTTCGTGTATTTCGATCACCTCCCAAAATATTGTGCATCATACTACAGAGCATTTTGCTGTTGTCATGCTCTAGCATGGTTCAAATTTATGAATTTTTATTATATAAAGTATAGTGTTTTGCAGAGTTTTCGAGCACTGACAAAAATGATAATCTCAGATGTGAAATTATTCATGATAATTTCACATGTAAAAATTTATCGCCTTTTCAATTATCGCTTTTCTGTAAACATTATCGCTTTTCATTTAAGACTGTCCTTTATATAATAAACAGAAAAATACATGGGTGGTTGGAAATACCAGATTTATTTTTCGTGTTGAACATGACATCTCACTCGTTCGCTGCGCTCACTTGTTCGCTGCGCTCACTTGTTCGCTGCGCTCACTTGTTCGCTGCGCACTCATGTTCAACACTCGAAATAAATCTGGTATTTCGTGCACCCATGTATTATTCTCTATTTAAACTACAGCTAGACTGGTTTAAATTATTATCAATTTATCAGTGATTGTAAAAGTTGGAGATAGAAGTGTTTTGTTTTATAAAATTATCAAGTTGTCGGTGATCGCAAAACCTCCAAATCCTTAATTTCAAATGTTAGAATGTTAGGATTAGAATGTTAGGGTTTGTAATATATACATTTTAAGTGAGAATATATACATTTTAAGACCTAACCAGGAACGACTGCGAAAAATGCAGCACAAGGTCATCTGGTAGGAATTGAACCTACGGCCCTGCGATTCCGGTGCAGCGCTCTAACCAACTGAGCTACAGAGGCCAGCTGTTGAGCTTTAACCGTAAGTTCATGTATATTTAGGTAATCGGGTGTGCGGGTTGCGATAAGGTGGACTTCAATAATTTGGATTCTTGCACTTCACTTGGTGGACTTAATATTAGAATGTTAGGGTTTGTAATCCAAGTGAGAATATATACATTTTCAGACCTAACCAGGAACGACTGCGAAAAATGCAGCACAAGGTCCTCTGGTAGGAATTGAACCTACTGCCCTGCGATTCCGGTGCAGTGCTCTAACCAACTGAGCTACAGAGGCCAGCTGTTGAGATTTAACCGTAAGTTCATGTATATTTAAGTAATCGAGTGTGCGGGTTATGATAAGGTGGACTTCAATAATTTGGATTCTTGCACTTCACTTGGTGGACTTAATATTAGAATGTTAGGGCTTGTAATCCAAGTGAGAATATATACATTTTAAGACCCAACCAGGAACGACTGCGAAAAATGCAGCAGAAGGTCCTCTGGTAGGAATTGAACCTACTGCCCTGCGATTCCGGTGCAGCGCTCTAACCAACTGAGCTACAGAGGCCAGCTGTTGAGCTTTAACCATAAGTTCATGTATATTTAGGTAATCGGGTGTGCGGGTTATGATAAGGTGGACTTCAATAATTTGGATTCTTGCACTTCACTTGGTGGACTTAATATTAGAATGTTAGGGTTTGTAATCCAAGTGTGAATATATACATTTTAAGACCTAACCAGGAACGACTGCGAAAAATGCAGCACAAGGTCCTCTGGTAGGAATTGAACCTACGGCCCTGCGATTCCGGTGCAGCGCTCTAACCAACTGAGTTACAGAGGCCAGCTGTTGAGCTTTAACCGTAAGTTCATGTATATTTAAGTAATCGGGTGTGCAGGTTATGATAAGGTGGACTTCAATAATTTGGATTCTTGCACTTCACTTGGTGGACTTAATATTAGAATGTTAGGGTTTGTAATCCAAGTGAGAATATATACATTTTAAGACCTAACCAAGAACGACTGCGAAAAATGCAGCACAAGGTCCTCTGGTAGGAATTGAACCCACAGCCCTGCGATTCCGGTGCAGCGCTCTAACCAACTGAGCTACAGCTCGGCCAGCTGTTGAGCTTTAACCATAAGTTCATGTATATTTAGGTAATCGGGTGTGCGGGTTATGATAAGGTGGACTTCAATAATTTGGATTCTTGCACTTCACTTGTTGGGATTAATATTTGAATGTTAGGGTTTGTAATCCAAGTGAGAATATATACATTTTAAGACCTAACAAGGAACGACTGCGAAAAATGCAGCACAAGGTCCTCTGGAAGGAATTGAACCTACGACCCTCCGATACCGGTGCAGCCCTCTAACCAACTGAGCTACAGAGACCAGCTGTCGAGCTTTAACCGTAAGTTAAGGTATATTTAGGTAAACGCGTGTGCGGGTTGTGATAAGGTGGACTTCAATAATTTGGATTCTCGCACTTCACTTGGTGGAATTAAAATTAGAATGTTAGGGTTTGTAATCCAAGTGAGAATATATACATTTGCATATTCTCACTTGGATTACAAACTATTCTCATTTGGATTACAAAATATATACACCAAATATATACATGTACTATACCGGTACATTTGCATATTCTCACTTGGATTACAAAATATTCTCACTTGGATTACAAAATATATACATGTATATATTCTCACTTGGATTACAAAACCTAACATTCTAATATTAATTCCACAAGTGAAGTGCAAGAATCCAAATTATTAATTTCAAATGCCCCGCCGAGGCTAAGGTTCGAGTGGAAATGCCCAACCCCCGGGATGTGCTTTACAGGAAAATGGCTGGGCGAGGGGGATGGGCACACTTGGATTTGGCTGATGCATTAAAAGTCCTGTGCTTATTCCAGACTGCTTGTCAAATATTTACTTGCTAGAAGTAGAAATTTACTCTGACCGCTGGATGAAGAAGACATTAAATAAGTACTGGTCAATAAACAGAAATGTATTTTATTTCATAGTATTACAATTTTATTTTTATACTATAAAAATAAAATATAAACATGCAGCATAGAATATTCAAATTCGAGGCAAAATTATTGTTGAATCGGTTTATTTATAGGATTTATAACAAATAGCAACTATAAAAGTTTGTACCTTGTCTTCACATCGTAATAGCCAATGCTTTTAAATTTACATATTTTAGAATCAGTTCCTTTCCTGGTAACTGCATTTATAAATGAAATCATCGTGAGTAGTGAGTGCTGAGCAGGCTGTTTTACTATAAACAAATTTTAGGAATTGTTAACAACTTTGAAAAATATATCGTTGCACATTCGGTCACAGACGGAAAAATGTTCATAGTATGTTGTACCGTCGTTTGCAACTAACGATGAACAGTCGCTCATAAAAACATTCGCGTGATTAGAATCTTCAATGTTTGTCAAGAACAACAACACTTAATTGTTGTTTCCCATGTGTGCAATAACAATAGGTAACAAAACTTTGTGTGAACTTGTTGGGCTAGAGACCTACTGGAAACTTTTACAGGCTTTTTAATGAGAATAGAGAATGTTTTATCTGCAACTGTTCACCCTTAGTTGCCACCGACGGTATTTGACAGCATAAAATTGCCTGTGGGCTGTGATAACTGATATAAATAAAATACAGTCTGGTTATACTGACTTGAGCGTGTCATGACAAACTCTTTATTGGAAAATTGTGAAGAAATAGTCGAATATAGAGGGTCGAATATCATACTTAAACTTGTATAGCTACAGTATCATTTGGTACATAGCGTTGTGAAGACAAGGCTTTGCTTTAATACCTTTCGCTTCAGCAGTCTTTTTTTTCCATGCTTCTCTACGCTTTCCCAGGCGAGCTTCTCTTTCCTCAGCAGTCTCCTCGAGCAAACGTTGTCGTCTTCGCTGGCTCCCTCCTTTTCGCGAGACGTTCGGCTTTCTTGTCGTTTCCTTGCCGCTCTTCATTTGGCTCCATACAGTAGTCCATATCTTTTCAATTGGTATTTGATACCATAATTGTTTTATTAAACTCTTTATAGAGCAAATTGCTTTGAAAGCTGTCAAAGTTTTTTGCAAACGTACAAAATACTGCAGTGCAAAAAGCAAAATATTTTCATGAAGTATCTGTCAGTTGAAGTCGTCATTCGTCGTACAACAACAAATTTTAAATTTGACCAATCAGTGTTCGCTATTCATGACAGTCCGCCATATTTTTGAGATCAGTGAGGATGACCACCCACCGAAACACGCACAGTGACCCACGCCCGCGATATTTGATGAACTTCAGACTTCCCTAATGCTTTCGTTTCCCCGGGTGTAAATAGCCGGGGGGAATTAGTACCCTCGCACGGCGCTTCGCGCCGCCGGCTCGGGGATAAAAAAAACACAACTTCTTGCATTTAATGGTTCGAGTATATGAAACCGAAAAACAAACAATTTGCATACCCTTGTGTATAGATTACAAATTCTGTAAGACAAATATAATAATCTTTCAACTTAGTCTTTTTCCTGGGAGACATCAATCTCACTGCCACATTTGTCCTTAGAGGTCAATTAAGAGAAAGCCGTGTAATCTCAAGAAATAAAATGTGCAGTATGAGAACATTAAGATACATATCAGGGCCTGTAAATTAATGTACTCGTCAGTTGTTGTTTTTTTCGGGTGTGTGGGAGGGGGGGGGAGTGGGGGGTCAAAGAACACAGTTCCATTCATTTATACTAGACAGGTACAGTGGATTGCTTGTATAGTATGAAAAAATTCGCAGGAGAGCTGGAAAGCTTATAGGCAAATAGTAAACTAATTAATTCAAAATAAATACTCTGTCTGCTGCCTTTTCCACCAATAAAAGCAGAGTCTTGAATTATCAAAATGTCAGTGAAATTTAGAGTATCTTGAGCATTCAAGCCTCCAGCTGAATTTTTCAGCGTATTTTCCGGCGACCAATCAGAAGTGTTTCATTATTCTGCTTGCATTGGGAGACTAATTGAAATTTCATCAGTACAAAAAACTTGTATTTGATAAAATGTTATGTTATAAAATAAAATATTTTTTCATGTTTGGCGTGCAATGGAATTAATGGGCGCTTGGAAAGTGTGGAGAGCACTAGCTCAAGCGTTTGGGTTTATAACGGCTAGCACGTCCCTCGTCCAACTCCTACGCCTTTTCGTGCTCTCTCAACTTCCTGCTTGCTCAACAAATTTATTGAGCACGTACGCCAAATCATGAAAAAAATGCTTAAATATTGCAACTTTTGCCACTTTCTACAAAAAATGAAAATATCAAAATATAAAAATGGTTAAGATGTTATAGCAACACTTGACGCACAACGCAAGCCTACGTTCAGTGTTGTCCAATATTATTACTTCATTTAAATCAATGTTTAGAAAATATTTGCGAGGGTTCCTGCATGCATGTTTTCAATAATTATATGTTACGTTTAACATTGATTGTGTAGAGGAGGTATGCGAAAACCCTGATGCGTATATATATATATATATATATATATATATATATATATATATATATATATATATATATATATATATATATATATATATATATATATATATATTGTGTACAATTACACAACTAACATAACACTTGCAGAACTAGTATTGTTCGTTGCTGAATTAATATAAACGAGTATGTTTACGACATTCAGTATATATTTCATAATTTCCAGTCTTAAATCCGTCTGACCGTGTAGCTCAGTTGGTAGAGCGTCGATCTAGTAATTCGAAGGTCGCAGGTTCAAGACCCAGCCGCGGCACACAACATTTATATATATATATATATATATATATATATATATATATATATATATATATATATATATATATATATATATATATATATATATATATATATAATAATGAACTAGATTTTTGCGAAAATGTTGTTCATAGTTGTTCCCTTAATGTCTGTATATAAAATTTGACTATATTAATGATATAAAATTTGAAGAATCACAAGAACTGTGGATAACTCGCCAATAAAGCATAATATAAACAATAAGAAAAAATAAATTGTGAATAAGTGCATATTTCGAACGTAGCGTAGGAAGCATCAAAAGGCAGGGAAGGGGGGGGGGGCACCGACTTGGAGGGGCACTTTTGGATAATGAAAAGGGCAATGAAATATATATCCAGGAGATGTTGGCGAGAGGGCGAGGACAGTTTTGCAATCATATCATATATAACATATTCCATACATAATATAATACATTTGCCCAAATTTTGAATTGGAACCTACAATCAAAGATTTTGACCACCATCGACCAAAACTTAAACTTTGTTTGTTCCATGAGCATTATATGTATTTATTGAGGGGCATTTTTGTCAAGAATTGCAGGTTATTTTCTGAACAGCATTTTTCACGAAGACAAAAGGCATTTTGCCACCGGAGAGAGGGCACTTTTTGTGTCCCAATCCCGGTTCCTACGCCTCTGCATCGTATTATAATATGGAGTGGACCAACCAAATTGGTGAAAAGCAATACTGCCCATACACTATTAATTATGCTAACAAAACTACTAACCTATAATTCTTTTAACAGCAATTGTGATATAACTTGTGTTGAAGCAAACATTGATAATTTACCTGTATATAGCGAGGTTTATCATCCGTTGCATGTACAGTAGTTGTATTATGTGTTAATACAATTAATAAAGAAAGTTCACCTTACTCATTATTATTCAAAGATTATTTAATTTTAAAGAAAGTTAGGTATTTACAAAATACGCTAGTTTGACTATAGTTAATCTTACAAATGTTTAGTCTTCCTCGATTTTTAGTGAAACATTGAACACGTCTCTAGCTTCTGGTTAAATGATAATTACGATAGATTGTATATAGTAGGTTTTTTACTTTTGTGCTTGTGGTGGTTGATAGTAAGGAGTTAGGGTATCACCAGTCACTGCCTCAGTCTTCAGATTGAACCGGCGCTGGATAGGTTGGATCTTGAACAGACAGTCCATTTTCTCTATGAATCAGTGATGTTGTAGCTGATATTGCGAGTTGGTCAGCACCTATAAATCCTGGTGATCTACGACGGTGTGAACAATAGTAAGATAATGCAACAACGGTAACTGTTGCCATACCACCAAGAACAAGTAATACAATAAGAACAGTAATACTATCAGACAAACCACAGCTTCCTTTCTGGCACGAATTATTACAACAGTATTCGTTGTCTCCACCACATTCTGAATTAATCATACAAGTCGTTTGCCCTGTACATTTCTTGCCGCATCTACCGTTGCAACAATACTTTACGTCAGAGCAGTCTTCGTTGATCAAACAAGATTGACCGAGACAACTCTTACGACATTTATAATTACAGCATCTGAAACCACCACAATCGCTGTCGCTAATGCATGAAACGTTAAGACAACTCTCACGACATTCGTATTGGCAACAGTATGCTCCGCCGCAGTTAAAATCTGCAGAACACATTAATCCGACACAGCTCTCACGACATTTACTACCGAAAATGTTGCTTTTGCAGCACACCGCCCTTGACCTATTACCCAGGACATGACAATCACTGTCATGAACACATTCGTCAGCTTTAACTGCTTCATACAAAATGGCAGACAGTACGACAAGGAAGATAATTATAAGTTTCTCAACAGCCATATTTGTCATTTAAAACTGACGTACTAACACATTGTACATGGTTATATATACCTGCATGTAAAAGTTTCTATTGACAGGACTTACGTCATAATGAATTAACTCAACAGTAGAGGAACATTTTTTTGGGGGGGGGAGATATTGGCATGCCCTACCTAAGACGGCACACGCGTTTGATTCAAGCCCATCCGGTTAGCAATTAATCGCGGAACGGGTCAATATTTATAGCCAACAGGCAGGTTGGGGGCGAAAGAGAAAGTATAATGAAGCCGAAAAAAACCTTTTTCCCATCTTTTCCAAAAAATTCTAGCTACACCATGGTGGAATGCTGCAAAAATGTTTTACCCCACCCAAACATATTTCGTTGCAAAGTCCAGACATAAAAGCCCAAATGAAACAGTTTAGTACTTTGTATGCATATTACCTTTATTGAGGTCCAAAATTGCTCTTAATGAGTGAGTAAATTATAATATAGCGTGCTATGACCACATTCGTCGTTATAATCAAAGAGGATCTGGAATGGGATTGATTGGTAAACATACTTGTTAACCACAACATCCAATACTCCTTCCCCTATTTTCTTGTTTCGTAAGGGACAGTGGCAATCAACTGTCGAGCATGATAGTGAGCATTGTGCCTTATTATGGGTCACCCCTACAATTGGACTGTACTATATAAAGAATATAGATATCAGAAGGTTCGGAATTTACCCGCATCACATTATCTAGCTGAATAGCTAATAGCAGGGATTTCTAAATAGAGAAAGACGGGCGATATCCAGCAAGCATTATCACACTAGCCATCTAATAGTGACTTAGTTTGAACCCTAATCATAACCCCGACACTAACCACTAACCTAACCAGGGCCTGCAATAACGGTCGGACATCATTCCGTACACATGTCAAGTTATGTTATCAAAATAGACAAAGAAGAGTTGATCAAATGTTAGTAATTATATATTACTGGATTATCTAGCTGAATAACTAATAGCAAGGATTTCTAAATAGTGATAAAAACGGGCGATATCCAGCAAGCATTATTACACTAGCCATCTAATAGTGACTTAGTTAGAACCCTAATCATAACCCCGACACTAACCACTAACCTAACCAAAGCCTGCAATAACGGTCGGACATCGGACATTTTCCGACCAAATCACAGTTTTCCGACCAAATGCTAAATTGTTCGTACATTTTGTTTGGACAATAAACTTGAAAAACTGAAAAATTTGAAAAACTTGAAAAATTGGGTTAACCGTAAGCTGAATTCAATCCGCCCACACAGAATATTAAATGTGAAAGGTTTAACTATACTGGCTGGTGTTTGACAAAAAAAATTATTTGTATATCATTTTAATAATTTACCCATGCAACGAAGGTACGAAATCAGAATGGAATAGAAAAATGTCCGACCAAGTTTTCGAGTTTCCGATCAAATTTGATTCTTGTCGAACATTTTTCCGGACAATTTTTTCTAAGCCCTGCCAACCCTAATCTAATTCTGACCCTAATTTAACCTTAATCTGACTCTAATCTTACCCCAGCCCTAATCTAATGATCTTTTTTTAATCTGAAATCACTGAGAGCATTCTAATTTGCATGTTTGGGGTTGGATGGATAAATGCAAATAGTTGGCCATTTTATTTTGGGCTAGTCCAATGCAGTGTAACTGCGAAACTCGGGCACAAGTCAGGCAAATTTCAACATTTTGACATTTTCAGGTAAAATTTGCGCAATAAAGTAACCAGTTTTGTAAAACAAAGTCAATTTACATCAGAGATGACGAAAACGCCAGGAATGCAGTTTTAGAGCTTCAAAAATGTAAACATTTTCAAGGGACACTCCTTTTCTCCCGAAACTTAGCACGAGAGTGCAAATGAATCTCAAAAAGCTTTATTATTATTATTACACTTCAGGTAAATATTTAACATTGAAGTTCTAATTCCAGGTAAAATCCTCCGACACCCCCCACCCCGACCCAATTTCAGATGATTCGCTACATCCCCTGAGTGCAGTACAGTGCAGTGCAGTGCACTGCACTGCAGTTCCAGTACATCATTCTGTACACATGTCAAGTTATGTTATCAAAATAGGCAAAGAAGAATTGGTCAAATGTTAGTAATTATATAGTACTGGATTAATTCGGGATATTAAAAGGCTCTCACGAATAAGTGTAGATCTCTTTCCAAAGTATCAGAAAAAATGAGTTTGAAATCAAATTTGAAAGTGAGTATGAGCGAGAATGCTGGACAATGCAGAAACTGAACGTTCCTTTTCAGTCAGTGACGAAACACCCTTACTCACAAAGATACGCGTGTGGTGTGTCGGCGATCGAGTTTGATCAACATGCAATGCACCATACGGCATTGCCACTTATACAGATATAATACACACATAGCGTGTGTGTGTCGGCGAGTTTGACCAACATACAATGCATCACAGCATTGACACTTATACAAACACGCAATATACGACCTCAGCCAATACGCAATTCGGTGCTTGAAAAGAAAGAAGCTCGAGAGGCGGAAAGACGAACGAAATACCACACATATAGAAACATTCGGATAAGCCGAAGAGAATATTTTGTAACGTACGTCCTCAGCGTATTTGCAAACCATGATCACCAAGGGAGACAAAAATATATAACCTTTTATAGGTACACGAGTGAACTTTATTCCTGGTGTCTTCGGCGTTTCCAGATAAAATTTATATCAATTGATAAATTTCATGACACTTGTTCGAAAAAGCTATATATTTTTGTCTTAGCCGAATTCCTACACTGCACGGTCATCATGGCTTGCAAATTCGCTCACATGTGCAACTTTATGAAATATACTCTCTTTGGCTTATCAGCATATTTCTGTACGTGTGGTTTTCCGTCATTCGTTGATCGTTCCGCCTCTCGAGTTTCTTTCCTCTCAAGCACCGAATTATCTATGGTCTGAGATCGCATGTTGTGAACGGATGGGTGGTTCGTCTTTGACTGGAAAGGAACTTTCTGCTTCTGCAATGTCCAGTATTCTCACTCATGTTCACTTCAGATTTCCGCGTCTAATTTCAAACATTAGATTTGTGCGTTTAATTCATACTTGCAAGATCGTAAACAAAGAGTAAAATGTAATGGCGTATACTCTGTCTGGCTACCTATTCGTTGCGGTGTTCCGCAAGGAAGCCTACTGGGACCTTTATTATTTAACATCTTTGTAAACGATGTGAATTATACAGTTGGAAATTCATCCCTTCATTTGTATGCTGACGATACCACCCAATATGCCCATGATACTAGCCCAGCTATTCTTGAATATACCCCAAATCAGGATATCTACACTATCTGCCTGGTTTAATGCTAACTATCTCCACATTAATGGTGAAAAAAACTCAAGCATTGATACTGGGAAAGTCTCAATATAGTTATGATTTGAAAGTTGACAATCAAACTATCAAAACCGAAGATACTATGAAAATTCTGGGAGTAACATTAGACGAAGAGCTGAATTTTAAACCTTATATTAAGGATACTCTTAGGAAAGTGTTTGCCTGCAAGATTGCTGCCCTAGCTACGACGACTGAAACGTATGGTGGTAAAAGAAACATTAATTAAGCTTTATAAGACTTAATATGTTCTTTCGCATCTTGAATACTGTAGCCCATTGCTTATAGGCATAAGTAAAACACTTAAAAATAAATTAGAAAACGCCAATTATTATGGCTTACGTACATTGATGAAATTAGGAAGAAAGTGAGTTATGAATCGGTTTTGAATTTAGCAACTATGCGCTCACTTGAACACAGGAGAGTTGATCAGTCAGTAATACTATTCTATAAAAGTTTCAAGGAAAATGGCCTTGCCTATATTTCTATTTTTTTTAACTTCGTAATACTCCATATGCTTTAAGAGGTAGTGGTCATAATGTGGTACAGGATGTGTATAACAGTCGTTATTTGCATAACTCCTATAAGTATCTTATTTCCCATATTTGGAATCAGTTACCACTTTCTGCCAAGTCATCTACCTCATTATCTGAATTTAGAAACCAGATTCACCAATCTGATTTACTTGGCTGTCAATACTATGCATGCATTTGGTATTATTATATAGATTATTAATTAATTAATACCATGTAAATATTATATATATCAGTAAATAAGTATTATTGTCGAGCACTTCTATCATGAGCCCCTGGCTCGAGTGATTGGACAACCACACTCTGTGTCATTTGACATTAAATAAATTATTCTATTATTCTATTCTATTCTAAAATCCTTGGTGGCTGCCAAGGTGATGTGATGAGATTTAACATTTCTTTTAAAATTACTGTAGATTGATTGAGACTACTGTTGAATATAGTTTTCACAAGTTTTATTCCGCATTGAATAATTATAACCGATGCACCATATCGAAAAACATTAGGAATCCTATCTAAAATTACGGGTAGACCTCCGTTTTCAATTTAAATGCTTGAAAGATAGTTGATTTACCAAGCGAAGGCAGTATAAAATGACATGATTTAGATTCCAGAAAGAAATTCCAACTAGAAGCTAATCCGAAGTTTGATTTTAACATGCATGAGATAAACTAGAAATACATGAATTCCATGCCCCGCCCGAAATAACTGACTAACTATCAACTTTTCTTATTATTCCTTTACACTCATGCTGACCAACACATAATTGCCAAGGTATCGACCACACCAAATGTGTACTTATGAGGCTGTACCAAGGTGAGAAAGCAAGTAGAAATGACCGTTTAATACCTGACATAAATATGTGAAGCAGTTTCTATTTAAATTGTGTAGTTTTGTAGTCTTTTAATTAATAGGTATTTTGTATTCCGAAACTTTTTGAAAAAACACAGTATCAAGGAATCATCGCCTTGGACGTCAATTCATTGGGAAAGTCATGCAGAGTGTCCCAAGAAACGTAATACAGTATTGTATGAAGAAATTGGCATAAAAGCTGGAAATCCTACTGGGGAAGGGGCACACGAGAAATGCTCGCTGAAAATGTTTAAAATTATGCCCTGAAAATGCATTCCCATGCATGCAGCTATTTGCCATATTAATTGTGTTTATTAAACTGATCAGGTCAGTAGCGTGCTGGGTACCAATATGCGCCCCTATAATGTTACACTTGGTAAACGAGGGCCGAAGGCACGAACCGAGTGCCGCAGGTGCGAGGTTTGTCTAGGGGGGTCCGGGGGCATGCCCCCCAGGAAAATTTTTGAATTTAAAGTCTCTGAAATGCCATTTCCTGGACTTTGGGGGAAGATTTGACAGAAATCTGATGGTCAGGAAACGGCATTATAACGTGTCGAAATTTGCAAAATTACTTCCAGCGATTAATCTAATCCCAATTCTGTTCTCTACTGATCTACTGTTCTGAGTACATTTACAACTTAAAGCTCTTTTATACAATAACACAAGCAACCCACGCATATGCATTTTAAGGTTTCCTTGCCTGGCTGCCAAAAGGGCATGTTTCAGCATTATTTCATTGCTTACATTACTCATGCTTCTTGTGCAAACAACTAAATTGCGTGCACAACTAAACATCAGTTATCATAACTTCAACTATCTAATTTGCGCCGCTCTTGTGATTCGTGAAGCATAATAAAGGGCATAATATAAGGGCATAATACCAGCAAAAAAGGGCATAATTCCTGTGATCGCATCGATCGAAACCTGACCAATATTCCGGTAATGAGACATTGCCTGTGATCACTGATCATGTTTCTATATGAACGATTTCGTGTGAGCTGTGAGGTAGCAAATACGGTTAGGCAAAATAGTCTGTAATTTAATATATGTCGCCTATATGCGCTTAGTCTGTTTTATACTGTAGCCTATAAACATGTCTTTTCTTGGCGGAAGTAACCATATTTTTTCGAGAATGCGTTTTTTCCCACCCACTTTCAAAATTCGGCGCCCCATTTTCATTTTTGCGCCCCCCAAGAATTGCCAGCTGGGGGGGGCGTGGCCCCCCGGCCCCCCCTGCCAGCACGCCACTGGATCAGGTGTATTGCCTGATGAGGGGCAGATATGCTTGTGCAAACGTAAGTTTATGAAATTAGTAGACTTTATGTCGATGATTGCAGTATCATTTCATATATGGGTGAAAGAAAAGAACAATTCGCCGCAACAGTATGAGGAGATGAATTTCTTAACTGAATTAATCGTTACTTTTCTATGAAAAATGAAGTCACATAAGTACGCTTGACTATACTTGGCTACATTTTCTTTAAACTAATTCTACTTGAAATAGCTGCGCCTGCATTTCACTGTGGAGTGGTCCATAATTGGCCACTGCTCTTCAAAAGTGTCACATTGCATCCAGAATATGGAAATTGGGTCGCACAAAGGGCATATTAGGGAAACGTAGTAAGTAAGACATTCACAAGTAATAAAAAACAGAAGGATTTAGGTGACAAACGACAAAAATACATGTTTGTAGGCACACAAGCCATTCGTATAGCCTAAAAAATATTGGGAGCGCTCCCCCACCCCCCTCCCACTCTCCCCTCACTTCCGCTGTCTAGCTGAGAGGTGAAGGAAAGTCGTGTTTCTAAGACTATGAGGCATTTTTTAAGCATTTTCATTTCCACCACAACTTTTTATATTCAAGCTTGGTAGTCTTAAAAACGCAATGACTCATGAAAATTAAAGGGTTTTTTTTCAAAAAATAGAAAATTTACGATTTAGATCCGTATTTTTAGACAAGTATTACTTGTCGGAAAATAAAAAGTATTTTGCAGAATGTAAAAACAAACATGTGTAGAGGGTTGAAAATTTTCACAGAAGTTAAACAACTGTCATTGCTATGGCAACAATATCGTTCCAGGATGACGTATATTTTGGCTTTATAGTAATTCAACTCCGAAAACAACATACTAAAGTACCCCCAACGGTTCTGTTTCATAAATGATGTCTCTTTGTTTATTCAGTCATCTTTACACTTTTTGGGCTGCATATGGATGAACCAAAACAAAAAAAGGAAAAATGAATAATGTCATTGAACCAAAAAAAAAGTTATTAATAATAAACAATTATTGGATGGGGCTGAGCATGATATTTATTAACAACTATTCGCCGAAGGCGAGGTGATTATCGGGGAATATTCGCCGAGACGAAGTCGAGGTAAATGACTAACTTCCATTTTGAAAATTTCGATTTTGTTATATTCACCTGTAGGTGAATATAACAGACTAATACGTCAAATTTGACCAATCACCTTGTAGGATTTCTTATGTTCACTTGTGCAAAAATACTAACAAGAATTATTCAGACCAAGGTCGATCTTGTCTGTCGAAGGGAAACTGAGGCAGTAACATTGACCAATTCAATCCAATTGTACAAATATTTGTACCAATAATTGTTTATTATACATTTAATGATTTAACTCCTTTTCGATCGATTAAAGATATCAGAAACGTATAAAATGATTAAACGAAGTTTATTAATGTTTCAAGTATATTACAACAATAGTGCAATAAAGTAGAAAACGAACATTTCTTTTAGATTTTCAACTTCACTAAAATTTCACCCAACTATTATAAACAATCAATAATGTCATTATCTTTATCTGCTAATAATCTTAACAGGTCGTTTTCAATCCAACGAAGCAAATCTATTGTGAGCTATTTTGTTTATTTTATTTTCGCGCGCTTTTGGGTTTGAGTTGTTGGCCGCCCCGGGGCTTGGACTCGACAGGGTCCAATAACTTTTTTGGGATGCAAGTTTGATCCAAAAAAATATTATAGGACGCCCAGCACGTCAGCAGCTGAAATTACGTAATAAGTATCAAATTTTGAGAATTATCCGGTGCTCTCTGACCAATCAGGAAGAGAATACATACTAAATATATAGTAATGTCATTTACGCAATTGCCATAATCACTGTCATCTGCTTGCTTTCCTGTATCTCAATGTCCAACATTGTGAATTCGTACTGCGCGTCACATACAGCGAGGAGGACAATCAACTGTGAGTTTTTTTATTGTTAAAGAATATTGATCCTGACCGTGGAGTTGGCAGCATGACAACATGTTTGCCACCCAGTGCACCAATGCACGAGGAAAGTCCGGAATCCATCTTAGTTCAAAATCTTTTCCAATATTTTTCCACTCAGTTGACATTGTTGGGGTCGTGTAAGAAGCCTTGTTCGGAAAACGTGTCATATAGCAGCACAACCCGCCAGCTGTTGCCGTGCTAATGCAATAACTTGCGCCAATCGTTATTTGAACGCTTAGATTCTCATCTGGAGAAATAGCTTGACGCATCCGTGTGGATTTCTTCTTTATTAAAGGTGAAACACGTGAGAGAGTATAACATCTCAAAAGTACTCGGCCACATCCTGAAAAGGCAAAAAATATTCGTAGTCTACGAGCATCGATTCCAGCACTAAAACGTTAATTTCAACCTTTGGACTCTCTCGCTCATCATAGATTTGTCTCACCCAGAATCTTTTTCTGAACATTAGTCGCTGTCTTCTCTTTCTTAATAGCAGAAAAGCAACCTCTTTGTTTTCGTACTTTGCGTCATGGCTGTGGAAATTGCAAACATATCATAGCGCATTTCACAAAGCGTACTAAAGGATTTTCTTCAACTATCAAAATGTTATGATATAGCAGTTGAAGAAATTAAATTAAAACATTAGTACGCTTTGAGAAATTCACGAACACTATATCCTTAAATTTAGAGTGTAGTGTAGATAGGAACAGTATACTTGTCATCCTTACTTCAAGTTAGTTCAAAGCCGGGCTGAATTGCGTGAGATACATCTCAACCTGATCGACACGAAGTATACTAACGGGGCCTTTGATTCCACCTCAATATCTGACCACGCAGGACATGAGCTACGATGAAGGGAAGTCTGGGAATCATCCCAACACGCGGAGTCAGTGCTCTACACGGCTTTTTGTAGAGCACTGACTCCACGGCGAAAACCGATGATCTTAGAGGTGCAGGGCACTTGATCCGATGACGATGCATTACTGATGCATTACTGATGTAACACTGTTACCCAAGTTAAATTAAACAGTCCCTAACACACACAGTGCGAGTCAACAGCAGAGGACTTAGCAAAAGTCAGGACCGCCGAGAGGGGGTGGGGGGGGGATTGCCCCGGGCCCCCACTTTAATAGGACCCAACTTGAGAGTGAGAGGCTAAACTTGAGTAGGTTCTTTAATTAATGGTCAGTGTCTTTTTGAAATTGAAGGCCCCCAGCCTAGTCCCAGTCGTTCTGAAGCAAACGCGAGAAAATAGTGGATGTAGTACGAGACTGGGACCTAGGTGTGACGTCACCGCTCAAGGTGCTTCAGAACGCCTAGCAGATTTCAGTATTTTTAATATGGCGGAAAATTTATATATACAAGTAACCTTTTAATTATAAATACGACAATGTTCGTTCATCATGTACATGTTCGATGTCTACATAACCAAATCAAACTGTATTAAAAATGTGCTCAACTAAAAAAATTTATATACAAATTTACGATACCGACTTTGAGCAATTGTTAATGTTATTTATGTCCCCGCAAGTTGTGATCAACACTAGACCATACTGGTATACACAACCACGCTTTCTACTTGACAGGTTCAAATTGCTGAGGAGATAGGAAATATTTGCCTGACATGACGGTGTTGTCAAACATTCTTAGTCGGAGACTCGGCATAATTTTCAAGCTTCTAGATAGCATTTAATATGGCTATATATTTTAGTAAAATATGTATGTACGCGTATGGCTGCGAAACGTAGCCTACTTCATTGTTCCGACAGCATTGGAGCAAAACTAATGACTTAATTATAAATGCAAAGGAAATTTCCATAACATTTTCCATTTACAAATGAGGTATGCTTGGTAACCAGGACAGGGACCACTTTTTTCAAATCAGGGACCATTTTACCGAAATCTGCTAGGCTCTCTCGCTGAAGCGTTCCGCACAGCACACCCAGGCATACAACTTTTAAGACTTATTTAAATATATCAAAGCAGCGAATAGAGAGAGAGCCTGGGACTAGGCTGGAAGGCCCCTTACAGTAGCTCCACATGCAGTCTATCTAGCTTAGGCCCGGTTTAGACGCCGTGCTTTTTATGAGCCGAACTTAATGCAAATGAGCTTAAACAAAGAACTTAGTTAATTAACATTAAGTTCGGCTCATGATAAGCACGGCGCCTAAACCGGGCCTTAGAAATAATGATGTCATGGGGCCCCCAGAGAAGATTGGACTGGGCGCCGCAAATTCTCTCGGTGGCCCAGGCAACAGTACCTATCTACTGTTGCTATAGGTACTGTGCTGTTATACATTGTGATAGTAGTAGGCAACAGTAGTGCAAATTTTGCAATTTTTTAATAGAGTAGAGTAGTCTACTATACAGTGCAGCGTAATGGCTCACAATTGTGATGAATAATAAAACGACTATAGGCCTACTTTATTAATTAACTTAATAAACGAAATCCACACCGACTCCGTTAAGTTGAACCCCCACCAATTTCAATAATTCTTTGCTTCCCTTGGGAGGTCGAGTTAGCTGGATTCTACCATACTGTACCTTAAAAAGCCCGACATGTGTACAATCGTGGGTACCATCTCAGGTATATTTGTTGCACCGCGCCAAGCGGCAATATAACCATACCAGGTTTGTGCCTGGTGTACTTACCTTTCCTGCATGCGGATCTGATCACTCTTCCATTTTTTATTATACCCTCTAATATGGAATATATCACAGCCCTCCTTTCCATGGCAACAATTCTCGAATATAGAAACATATTTGGGTCATTTTTTATTATCTCATTTTAATAGCAAATTTGCACTTTTGTATGCACAACGTTCTCTTATTTACAGAATAAATACATTAATATCCAACATTTAATTTTGAATATAATTAAAATTATGTAATAAATACTTTCTGTTGAAGATAATGTACAATTTTTCCTCATTCATTACGGCCTAGCCGTATTCTATCTAGAGATTGTGATATTGAATAAATCAGGAAATGGTGTCGATTTTATTAAAAACGGTAGAAGAATTAGTAAACTGAACAGACTAAGCAGCGATAAATTTTTACGAGTTGATAAAAAGTGGACTGATAAGCTAGAAGCTAGATGTACTGCACATTAATAACAGCTTTGTAAAGATATATGTAAAGTCCAGTGATGAAAGCAGTGATGTTTCTAGCAACCACGCATGTGATATGACTTGTCTTTCAAGTGTATTATTATTATCATAGTGAATATATACAGTGTATGTACATCTCATATTGACTAACAAACAACCGAACTGCTAAGTACTTTTAACCACGTATGGCATAGTGTACTTGAAGCCTAACCGCCCAGGGCATTTTTTAAGAAATTATAATTATTACAGCAAAGTCTTGATGAGGGCGTTTATCCCCGTTCAGTTAAATGTAAACTAAGACCATCTTGCCATGTTCCGAAATTGAACGGAGAAATGGCCACGCCACTGAGTGTTTATTGAATAGCATCGTGGGTTCAGGTTTCGCGCGCTTTTTTGTTGTGGTTTACTTCAATTTTTTGCAACAAAACTAGGCCCAAATTGCAAGTGTAAAGTGTTCTTAATTGTTCCGTCTTTTCATTCAGTCTTTTCTTAACATAGTTCGTTTTACTAGTATAATATATACATTGCATCAGTCAGGGAATTAAACTTACTGGTTTTCACTCATCTTTGTCCACATTTATTCTCTACGAGCAGTCTGGATATAGCATAGAAACTTATAGAATGTGATAAAGCAGGTCATGCTACAAAATTGTATATAATTTCTTAAGCTTTTATCCAGCATGGCGGTACTTTAAGTTAACTCCATCTAATGTTATTAATTGCCTATAACCGAATTCCGATTCCTTCGGATATGTTCAAATTCGTTATAATTCATATGCAACGCTTCTTCACAATAGCGGAAAGATCCTTTTACATAGTTCATCTCAAACAAACCGAGAAAGGTTGATATTGGGGAAGTTGGTTAGAAAGCAGACTATACCCCACGAACACACCACTGAGCTACAGGGAACGTTATGGTATGCTTATAACAGCAAGCTACAAACAATGATCTCTCTGTTTACTTAAAACCAATAGTTCTTCGTCTTCCTCCTCGTCTATCGTACCCTGTTCGTCGCTGTCTAACTCGTCATCTGCTTCACGACTTCGACTGCTGCTCTTAGTGCTCTGAAGTCGAGCCGAATCAACAGAGAATAAGTTAGGTGCTTTCGTCTTTACCTCATCTAAAGAAGGTTAGTAATGTTAAGTATCGAATAAAGACCTATTTTATTGGTATGACGAGTGTCGAACCGTTGGGTCTTGATTACAATTCGACTGGGCTATGTTTTCATTTATATAGACCAGAGTAGCGAGCGAAAACATGACAAAAATGTAAGTATAGTAAGTATATCGCATTCTTAAGGTTTCACTTTGAAAGTGAAAACATTTAGGCACTACATGTAACTTCACACATCATAAACTACGATTATGTCTTTAACACTGAAGGGTGTTCAAAGTTACAAATTACATCGGCGATATAAGCTAGAAGCAGTTCATATAGAAGTTGTGACCTTTCAAAGGAACCTTTTCAACGGTAACTGTTTCACTATTTCGCATCCAAAGAATGGACACAACTGCGAAATTCACTTTCCATGCGCATAAAGGCCAAATACATAAATGGTGATGATTTGGGCTTTCGAACCAAAAGCTATCGCAAACAGTGCGGATTTTTTTTTACCCCCTCCCCAAAAAAGGTAATTGACAGATAAACTATAAAACTATACAAACAATATCAGGTATTTACTTTAAACACACATACCTTTAGAATTACTTAAATCGATCGCTACATTTCGATGTTCCTGCCAGCTCACTCTTTTTTCTTGTATCCTCTCGTGTTTCCTAAACGGTAGTTGATCTATGTCCGGTTTATCACTATCACTACTAAAACTTTTATGTGGTTCCATTTTGGTTTCCGATACATGAGAGTTGTACCAATTGCGGTTTTCTTCTAAAGTATCTAAGGTTCCTTGAGCATCTGGATATGTCAGTTCAGCCCACGTCTCCCACAATGGCTGGGCAACAAAATCGATAAAGACAACCTGGAATATCAAATGAAGAGAAAATATCAAATTCCTGATTAATTTTGTTTATTGGTCATGTTTATTAATTCCACAGGCTGTTATAGGCACATTAATTCCACAGACTGTCAGATATTCTGCGTGAACTTATGCACATTTTGTGAAAATATCAGAAATTCTGAAAAATGCAGTAAGGTTTATTGTAGTTAAAAAGCTCATTTTAAAAGCTTTTCATTATAAAACCTGGCGAATGTGATTACTAGATGATTTTTTGAGAAAAAAACAACAAAATGAAAGCTACCTTGCAATTTATCTAATCACACTGTGTCCGCTATTAACTTCTACCGAACATTAAGCATCACAAAAAGCGCACTTGGGCGATAAACAGTTTTCGAGTACGTTATATCACTTCTCCAACAGACTTGTATTTAGAAAGAAATTCAAGGAAATGGTCGAAGTATTTTATGGGCGCATATTAGGTTACTGTGTAATTGTAATTGATAATTATGGATTCAAGTTAAAAACTATATAGGCATTAGTACGAACCTGTGATTTTTCAATTGTCGCGTTATAACGATCCATCATGGGACTCACATCCATCCCCTCTATTTTTCTTTCCCGATCACCCTAAACAATAAAGGATATAAAGGAGTCAATAAAGATATTGTAAACATACCCGATCAGACAGAAAATATACAATGCTCTGGTGTTTCAATGTTCAAAATTGGAAGAATGCGACTACAATACAACGAGACTTCAATACTTAGTTTTGGAAAGCCTCGTCTAAATTTGAACTATAATTTCGAAAAGGCATGCGTCGATTGCGTCCCTGAGTGCTTATTGTTTCCATAAAACTAGTTCTATTACTACAAATTGAATAAGAATCGATGTTTTAGGGGAAAGAGGATTAATGTTCAGAGAACGTATAGATCAACGCCATTCAGATATTTGCCTTTTTTCACATGAATATGTTGGCAATCGCCAATTTTCGCGTGTAAACATGTCGAAGATATTAATAATCATTAATTCCGCCAGTCAGTTTAGTAAGTTTTCGATGCATTTTGCGCCATTTTAAAATTAATGGCTCTACCATAGATTATTTTCAGTCTTAAGGTTGTACACTTTGCCTGATTAACCGGTCTGTAGTTTAATAATTGCGTATATCCGCCTGGTAAGACATAAAATGGAGCGTTATTCTAATAAAAAGGGGTAAGAAAGCATATCTTTAATCGAAGATTTGTAGCTAGTGTGTTTACCTGTTGGAAAAATTCTTCCATCAACCTATCTACCCATTCTTTATAGAGAGGTAATCGTTTTGTTGGATTACTGAGATCAGCACAATGTACTAAGCAACGTAGAACCTAAAACATAAATTAATAGCGTGTTAAGTTCTTTGTATGTTTGCATGGCGATAAAATATAATGGTTTTGTTTGTGGAAACACCGCGTAAATTTATTACGGCAAAGCTTTCGATCCGTAAGCCTGGATCTTCATCAGTGCTAATAATATGTAATATTAATAATATTAATAATATTAATATTAATGTAATTATAATAGCGTATTATAATTTTTTCGAATAGTCATCGCTCAACAAGCAGTTTTGACAACTTCTTCATAAGCTACAGGACAACCTTGTTCACGCATGTCGATATCAACCGCGAACTTAACAGGTTGTGCATTTTTACGCGCCTATATAGTCTTCAAATATATATTTAACATGAAATGCCACCAGCATGTGAGCAATACAAACCTGAATCCGGTCAGCGTAATTATCTAAAGTAAATTTTGATGCGGACAGTTTCTTAGTTTCGACCATGGTCTTTAACGACGCCAGCAAACTCATGTGTTTTGCATTATCCGTAGCAAGAACCTACACAATAATTTTATAGGAAGTTAGGAAACAGGAAATAAAATCAGCATTTTAGCTACATGTATTAGAAATTTGTAAACAAAGGGGATGAGGGATTAATGCAGCAATACAAATAGCCTGCATGGCAGGCGGTCCCTAAAATCGGGCAAGCCTGGGAAAGACCGCCTGCTGGGTTTGGCAGTGTAATCGAATTCCCCGTCCACCAGTGGACGGGAATTGATGATTGGCTGCGAGTCTGAGCCGCTGTCACTCAAAAGTGAATACACTTTAATATGTAAACATACGTTTAACACTTTAATGATGCATGCGTTCGCTTTAATACTTAGTTAGATTCTTGCACTTCACTTGGTGGAATTAATATTAGAATGTTAGGGTTTGTAATCCAAGTGAGTATATATACATTTTAAGACCTAACCAGGAACGACTGCGAAAAATGCAGCACAAGGTCCTCTGGTAGGAATTGAACTTACGGCCCTGGGATTCCGGTGCAGCGCTCTAGCCAACTGAGCTACAGAGACCAGCTGTTAAGCTGTAACCGTAAGTTCATGTATATATAGGTAACTATATAAAAGGTTCATGTATATAAGCTATATATACATGACTTACGGCTACAGCTTTTTACAGCTGGCCTCTGTAGCTCAGTTGGTTAGAGCGCTGCACCGGAATCGCAGGGCCGTAGGTTCAATTCCTACCAGAGGACCTTGTGCTGCATTTTTCGCAGTCGTTCCTGGTTAGGTCTTAAAATGTATATATTCTCACTTGGATTCCAAACCCTAACATTCTAAAATGTTCGCTTTAATAGCTGTTGTAAAACTGAACGCTTCTCGAAAGTCGAAACGCGAACTGATTGTCAAACGCGAGCAAGAGACAGCAGTTAAAGATTTACTCCTTGGAAAGAATGTTTTGGCCGTTCTATGGGAAAAGCTTGATTTTTACATTGTTCTTGTTGGCGCGAGAAAATATAACGAGAATAGATACAGACGGCCGTATAGTCTTTCTTGCAACGGGTTTTATATATTACGCCTAGGCCTATTAGCCGCTTCACTTTCTGAACTTTTTAAGGCTTTCGTTACCAAACGGTTTCATTAGGGAGACGGGACAGTTCATATTGGCAACTGAGGGTTTTAATTTACAACGGTCTATTTGTTGTAACGTTCACAGGCAACGCGTTTATGTCTCGTTTGATTATGGCAATCAGTTCGCTTGCATTTCGCATATGTCGCTCACACGGTTTACAAACTCAGTCGGATAGTTCCGAGATAGAATTAACTTAGATTCCTAAATGAAATGAACCGGCAATTCGGCTTATTTCGGCCAAGGTTTTGCCACTGTCGTAACGTTTCTTTTGGTTGCCTTAAATAAATAATTTCTACGACGATATATAAGAATATAAGATATTTTCTCTATTGCCCCGTATTTTAGTTTCAAAGCACACTTAATACACAAACGACAGTGGTCATTTACATTTTCCGCGCTTGCTTTTCTACCTCTTGTAATTATTCAGAGGTCTATAAGTGTTTTCTAGTTTTTTAAGTGTTGTCTTACCATTTCAATAACATTTTTTCTTAAAGTTTGTCTTTCTTTCTTATTCATATTCTCAAATATGTCGCAACCCTCGTGCTGCAATAACTGGAATGCCACAGCCAGATGATGATTTTCTAATACAGACTCGTCGTTGTACATTAATGCTAGTCTTGAATCTATCGATAGTAGAAAACGAGAAGAAAATGTGAAAATATCTCTTCAAATGATTTAAAATATATCGAAAAAGAAATTTTGAATGTTCACGCGATATTCACGAGTTATTCTTTCCAACTTACTGACGTGACGTCATGTGCAAACGAATAGTATCAGAATCTTCCCATTATCAAAATTAACTGTATATTACATTTACTTTAACCATACATATACAAGACCATTATAGGCTACAAGGATGCATGATTCCAACCTGGTTGATCAGTGTAATACCCGGCGTATATTTTGAGCAATTAAACGATTAATAATTTACGATCAGACCTCTAATTATAAATTCATTAAGTTTTGTTTAATTTTGGTATTAACCGAATGATATATGTAAAACAAATTGCTTGATTAGCTGCGTGAAAAAATAAGGGTTTTGCTTATAAATAATAACATGCTATACATAAAATTAAATAGAATTTTGAAAAGATTCTGCTCAACATTGAATGTATATAAGCCATATTTCTGCAGCACACCTATTTAATATATACAATAGTTAATCATCTGCATGCTATTCCACGAATAACCAAACTTACTTGTCGCAACAAGAAAATGATTACTGAGACCAGGATGATCGACGTCATGAACGGCAGCGGCGAACAAAGTTGCTAGAATTTCCAGGTCAGTGAAAACGGACTGAAAATAAATATATCACTTCAGACTAAGTCTGTCTGTAGAAGAGATGTAACAAGCATCTTTTCCATTTAAGACTAAACGGCTCCAACTATTATAACCGTATATATATATATATAAAAACACATGTGACCATTATTATAGTTATATCTTCTTCATTTGGTTGACATTCTTAAAACTCTTTGCCTAGCAAACTTAATCGATTGTATTTGTGGATGTGTAACCAATTCAATTTTGCATACTTTATAAATGTTTTAACCAAAAAATGTGTCTGATGAGTTAAAGCAGTCTTATCAGTGAAACCACAAAGTGTTTCAGATCAAACACTGATACCTCGCGGAAACAAACAAAGAAACTTTTCTACTCCCAAGATACAATTTCCGTTAATAAAGTGGAGCTCTTAAGGTAAAGTGGCAGACAATAGGGAGCTATATTTAGCAACGTTTAACTGCACTGACTGTGGCTGTGCAATTTTCTAATGAGGGAGAAAAAAATGCATTATACACTATATATAATAAAGCAAAGAAGTGTGCATCTTTCGACGGTATATGTCCTTTATTCCAAAATATTGAGTTGCTTTTCTTCGCGACGACAGCTTTGTTGAGTAAAACCGACTGTACACTAAAGACAAATACTTCTCAGTGGAATCACGCCTTCATGACACATGCATGTGCTGGCAAAAGTTACGACAAAAATATAAAGTTCAGGATACGGACATTTACCTCAAAGACGCCAGCAGATAGGAGAACATGAGCAGACTGGACTACATCAGATGAATGTGTACTATTGTGGAATGGAACATCTTTAAAGTAATGATTCTACAGAACCAGATATAATAAAAAAATATTTGTTTGTCACCCAATAGTCTTAAAAAATATTGTGTCGTTAATGGCTTCTAAGTAAGTATTTAGAGAACGTTTCAGCGAGCTTTCGTGAGACATTAATTGCCAATATTTGTTCTGAGCAGTTACTGCTGGTAGAACAAAGTGGGAACTTAAAGAAGTGGCAACTTAAAGAACTTGAAGTTCCGTGAGCAGTTACTGCTGGTAGAACAAAGTGGGAACTTAAAGAAGTAGAGGAATGCTTTGCGTGTAACAATTTAACTGCATGCATATATTTTCTTGACATTTTAAACAAGACATATCGGTAGGTTTTTTGAGCTTTCAGTGATGAAATTAGTTTCGAAAATGAAAGGCATTAAATACTGAAGATAAATAACATTTACAGAGTTAAAAATTACTTCACGTGAAACGTGACAGATCACGTTCCGATTGGCAAAGTAATTCAAAAAGTCAATGTTGTCTAAGCCGACAAAATGAATGCATGAAAGCCGTAAAATTTATGTAAATTAACATAATTTTTGACACATATAAAACCACCGACAGGGAACAGGTGGGAAATTTGTTGTCGCTGACCAAAAAATCGCGGGCAGAAACAAAGCTCATTGCATTTACATTCAAAACAAAGCAGAAAGTTAGCAAGAAGCTGTTTTAGCTGACAATTTTTTGCTTTCCATTCAACGATTTACAAATTATTGGTTATTCTTTTAAAAGTCGATCATGAATTCTTTGTTTTGGGATGATTTGTTTTGTAATCGAGTGATTGGAAGAAGTTAATATGGCGACGTGAACATGGGAGTAAATACCGTATACGTCGATCTGTGGCTTGTTTAAAACCGTAATAAACGAAGAAAGACGTGATATGAGAATGAAATGTAAGTTGAAATTAACTTTATATGACTCAAATTTTCCATCCTATGTTTCTTAATGTAACTTCAGCTGTCTAAGTTCAAAATACAAGCTCGCGAAATTTGACAAATTTTGAAAATATGTAAAAATAGCTTGACTTTGAACTGTATTTTCTCAAAAATAGCCCGTGGCCTCAATTTCAAATATAGATAAATGAAAAGAAAAAACTTTTACGTGTTTGTAGGTATCAAACATATCGTCAGGAAAATAGAGGCTCACAATGTTTTAGCTGAGTCTTTGAGACCCAGTTGCTTCGCACGTGTTGTTGTCAAATTTTTGCCAAGAATCAAAGGCCGAAATGTGAACTTCCTTCATGAAAACCGCTTCGAGAAGGGTCTAGTTTGAAAATTTAGCTATTAATTTCGATTTCGTGAGCATATTTTGGTTACAGGTTAAATATTTTTGTATTTGATGATATTCAAAATTTGTTGTATATTCAAGCCCGGCTTTAGTGTAATTTTGGTGATGACCGGAACAGAAATAAAGATATTTTAAAAACTGGCCGTGGCCTCACGATAAAACTTTCGGAAAATGTTCTCTGTTTCATGTACTTTCATTTGATATCTTAGGTATAAGCGTAAAAATAGGGGCTCATACAGTTTACGAGGTTGTAAAATGCATGACTTGCCTCTATGTTCATGTAAACATTCGAAATTTTTCGACAGCATAGTAGCGACTGTTTCAGATCGAATGCACACGGACAGCCCACCAGAGACAATGGCAGGGTACTGAAATAGAACGTCACTAAAAAATTCTGTATGATTAATTTAGATCATGTCCATTTTCAACATAAAACAGTCATTTATTTTGTACAAACATTTGGCAATATTTACACGATTGTGCCTTTTTGTAAACACGCGTTGCGTGTATTCCACGCAATTGTGTTGCTCACTTTGCTCGCGCATGCTCAGACAAATTTCCCACCTGTTCCGACAGGGTAGACAAGTGATTTCCTTTGTCTTCAATTTCCTCATGAATTATTAATGAGAATTGTTGACTAGTATTTTTAAGTACGTACAAACCTCGATTAATGTAATATAATTAATAAACGTCATTGGCTTGATTTTGAAAATTCTCATTAAATCTCGAGCCTGAAATAAATGTAATTACAGGTAGGCCTACGTTACTCAATTTGACAAGTTTGACACCTCCAGCTGTGAGAAACGTAGTGAAAATAACAACAATAACAACGATAGTAACTGTAACAACACCATGCACCACCAATAACAAAAAAGAACAGGGACAACAAAAGCAAGTATAACTTATTTAATTAAATGGCAATGGAATACGCAGAATTTTAAAAGTTTTAATTGTAAATGGGGTGCACGTGACGTAAAGTCGCAATACTATGTAGCACTCAATAACTTACAGTAACCTTACCTGTAGTATCGTGTAAGTGACAGCGGCCAAAGGTCGTCCATTTGTTATGTTATGAAGTTTGAAAACATCGAAGTCCCATTTATGTACAGCCTCAAGATGCTTTAAAAATTTAAAAAAATAACCGGCGAGATAGCAGCTCAATTAAATGAAACATAATCCTAAACTCCTATATATAAAATTTCTCTGTATGAATGAGTCATATTTTGTAAATAGCGGCCTCATGGAGCAAAAATGTTGGGAAGCTGTGCAATTTGCCAGGGATATTGTATAGAAAGTATTCTGTAGTTACCTTCGCAAGTTCACACTCATCTTTTACTTCGACTCCAAACCTTAAATGGTGAAGAATGATAAGTTTGGATTTCCAAAGCTATCATACATCCATGTTATTAGTTTCCATTGTTTCTCAAACGAATATACACGGAAAATAATTTGAAACCATCATCATAGAAAAATGTTTTGTATTAGGTATTAGGACATTTCAACACCACTTTTCAATACAACTTCAATAACTATGAAAACAGAAACTACTATGCAAATGGGAGATCTAATCCATTTCTGGCTAAGGTCCATATCTAGTTTACAGAACCGATTTTGAAACCAGCGCTTACCTTGGTATAGTTCCGGAAAAACTGCTTATTCTTTTTAATTTCCCAACGCTACTCACTAGAGATTTTGAGCGAGCTCGTATGCTGGAAGATGGATCGACGCCAACTTGTTTGTCTAAAGTACAATGGAAATATGATGAAAGGATGGACTTTCAAGAAAACATGGATGTTCTACAACTTAGTAACGACGCATGCGCTTAATGTGCAAGCTCATTTAAAATATATATAAGGATATTTTCTCACATTCGACTCGCATCGCTCTCTCAGTTATCTTAGAATAGATGTAGGAAAGCGTTGCAGGGGTTGTTATAGAGAATGCGTGCTGAGAGCTGGGCGGAGTACACTTCTTCTTCAGCAAGCAACACCTTCATGCTGCACAAGCTATGAGATGCATATTAGATAGTTGAGAAGATACTGTATATAAACTACAAGAGGAGAGAAGCGACCTAATAGATACTTACCTACAAAAGTGTTATAAACCCACATAGATAGTTCTTTGGATTGTGTTGCCTCCGAGAAATCTTTCAGTTCACGATTTAACAGTCTTTTAAACTGAAGTGAAAATAAATTAGCAATTACAACAACATTGTGTAATTTATAACGTTAAAAGTTACACTTTTCACAATAATAGTGCAATTAAAATGAAAATTACGCCATATCCCCCCCCCCCTGAAATACTATGGAAATCAGTTCTCTAAATTAACATTAAACCCTAAAGATCCTGTCTATGAAAAATGCTCTCAAATTTTTGTGGCCAGTCTTGTTCGTATAACCGTTGGCTGTCAAGACAGGTATGTATGAGCAAAAAAATGTCAGGATGATCGGGAAAATTGGTACTTTTACAATTTTTTTATGTAGGATGAGAACTAAACAACTAAGTAAAGCAAAATTCTCAGTAACAATTATGCTTTTTCTCCTCATTTGCAGCACCTGCAAGCTGCCACTGCTAAATTTCGAAACATTCAATTCTTAGTAAGTGAATCCGTATTGCCAATTTCAAGGAAATTCAGAAATATTTCGTACCTTATTCGATGCCATTTCGCTTACACTGCAGTGTGTTTCTAACGTCTCCAGCTGATTGAGTACCCAATCAAGCTCGTCCAGAGTGTCCGTAACAAGCTATGAATGGAAAAATAGTTTAATATAATATCACTATGTACCTTACCGTTATTAGATCTGAGCAATCTCCGCCAAGAAATAGCCAAACAATTAGAGTAGAGGGTGAAACATATCCAAAAGGTAGCTGGTTTATCAAAAAACGGTGCGACCAGTAAGGACACACATACCAAGGTTTCTGGTTAAGAATACGAATATTTATATTTTCATCATCTAATTCCGGCTTCAGCTGCCAAGTAGAAGATATTGTAAGTAAAGGTCGTGAAGGGAGGAATTCAATTCTACCCATTTTTCTACCCATGTTTTTGTTTCGAATCTCAACCACCCAACCTACTATATTGCTAAATTCCATTCCCAGCACCAAAATTGATGGTGAAATCCCACTACACTGGCCCAAATATCATTTCTCATTTTCACCATTACGACCCTCGTTAAATATTTACGTAAATGATCACGTCAATTTTATAATAATTATGAAAACAGGAAAATGCCCATGTTTCTTTTTTAGATCAAACGTCCAACGTGATTATCTATCAATTCAAACTGTTATAAAATAATTATATTTCAAACACTGGTTGTTAGTATACAGACCCGATTATGACCCTCTCCCTGTTGATTTGATGACCCTAGAAAAATTAGAAGGATGTTATCTTTTATTCCATTATTTTTTAGTATTATTTTGGCAACGTGAACCAAGCCGTTAAATCTGGTGAGCCTAATTATTCTGTTTGAGACTGTTTCTGAATGCATTTAGTAGTAAGAGATGTAGATAAATTCTGCACAGGAATTGCAGAGGTCACAGGTCGGTTGCTGCTGGAGGGTCGAATTTTAATCTTTCGCAGCTGCTTCTGGTATATATAAATTTTCGTTCGAAACACTGGCACTCGCAGTTCGAGATATCGTTCAAGATTATTCACCAAAAAAATCTAGTGACAACCATTAGTTCCATCGAATGAGATGCCGAAAATCATAACACTCATATTATTAATACTATACTCCGTGCATTTTCTCGTACTTCTCACAAACAATGCTGCCGCGCAAAAACGTGTTTAGAAATGAGAAAACATCAGGCAATCACTGAAAATTGCTTTACAGAAATTTATTGCCCATACCATTTGAACGTAACTGGAGCCTCTGATCTATCATTTGGCTATAGTGACGGTTACGATTTTGGCGAAACTGTTAAATATTTATTGCATGCGCTTTTGCGCGGCTCTACACTTCATGGACGACCATGCTCAGCTGCCACCTGACACGATCGGGCGGTGGAAGCCCTAGCGGTTAGTCCTATAGTGGTACGTCCTAGAGGTGGAAGTTCCCGCTTTCTACTTGCACCTATAAGGTAAATCGAAACCTTACCGGATGAAACGCCATTGACTTCATACGAGCTTCTTCTTCCAAGAGTCTGCTTGGAACTAAAAGATAGAAAGAAAAGTCTGATAAAACTGTCAAATATTATATCTTCTTTTCTTCCACAATTATAACTAATATCAGAACATGATAATTGAACTCTATTAAAAAGTCACTTCCACGTTTTGGGCTTTCGCCAGAGACTGATAACACTTACCCAAACATTGATAGTCTGTTTATTAAAGGATTAGTGTCAGGGTCATGTATTGCGGGCTTTTATTATTGTTTACATTTTACTCAAATACAACAAATAGCGATAAAAATACCTTGTTTGGTACATTTGTGATAAAAATCAGACAAAAAGAGGAAGGATTATAAAAGGATGGTTTAAATATATGATGGATTGTAAAAACTTTCCAGATCATCTAATCTATTCGTCCCGAAAAATGGCCGCCAGCAGGAGTTTGAGCCCGCGAATTCCTGGTGTGACACTAATCCTTTAAGCGCGGGCTAGATTTCATACAATTCGTAGAATTTAAAAGGAATGAATTATGAATTGAAGTTGATGTGAATTCTTCAGAGGTTCTTGCCTCATCCTCATGGAATGTATGTATTAAATATGCAATAAGCTCAGGTTGGACAAAAGAATTTTCACGTTGCCTTAATTTGCTAGTAAACACGTTCCTTTGATCTTTGACGATTGTATGACAAGAGGGAAATATTACTATCACGACAGGACATCGTAGCTAATTGTAAATTGTGGTTCGTAGGTAATTGTAAAATTATTTAAACAAATGCACCTGGTAGTTCTGCAGCCTGATAAGTAAGTGAAAATTATAGAAAAAGTTTGGACTAAGTTCTGGATGGACGCGTACTATCATTTTGAAGTTCTTTTCGTCGAAGTTTTAATAGTATGGCACGCATTTTAACTTTCAATCCCTTAACCCTTTTACAGATTTCCTCCTCATTAACGTTTCGATCGCATCGCATCTGTATCGGATTTGCAAACACGAAGCGAAACTTTATATCTAAATGCATAAAATTGACGGTAATGAAAGTGTGGCTTACACTCCTTCGAGCTTCTTAACTTGAGCCACCGTCATGAAGTTGTTCCGGATACTTCTCAGACTTGATATTATCTGAACAAGAAAAAAATATTCATTAGAACCAAAGTCAATCTCATAATCAGTACGACGTGAGGTTGATGAGGCAAAGAATGTGTCGGGTTTAGTTCTTAATTCTAGGAACTCTATATGAGTTTGTATGCATTTCATTTAGGACAGATAATCTCAACTGTTTTCGGGCCAGTTGACCATGACGGTCGACATGGTAACGCTGCCTGAACCCCAATCCGGGGCGAAACGTTCGAAACTGACTACACCCAAAAACGACGCTCTGGCCATAGTGCTATCTACCAAACCATAAAAGCTTTCGCTATTCTGAGGTGCTTATATGGTTCAGAGATGGTGCTTTTAGGGGTGGTCATTGGTAAGTGTGAAATGCCTAGCACTGATATTTCACAAGAAAATGACTATGCAATACTCATAGTCAAACGTCAATTTGTGACTTACAAATTCAGATAAACAGCAGTGGACCTACATTACCTTTTTTCCTAAATCATTTTTATAGAAACATAATTGGTACTTATTTAAGAATATTATCACTGCTTTGCTGTAAAATAGTTAACACTTTGTGACCGAAATAATAATTTGAAATGTACCTACTGTACCTCCTGCAAATGGACGTATTTGGCCAAATTCGCCACTTTACTCCGCTGTTTATCGCCAATGCCGTTGAAATCCTTCCAAATATGTACGGCAGCTCGGACATAATGGTATCAAGCACATTTTAAACAAGTTTTAAATAGCTTCCAAGCAGATCCTAGCTGTTTAACCATCGACAAGGTAAAACCACAACTTTGTCCAATTTGGCGCCATTTTGTCATCCCATGTCGGTTGTCAACAATTTGGCCTTGTTATTCTTCCATCCAAGCCATTTTGATTCCGCTAATAACAAACTGAACCCTTTGTTAAGGGCATCAAAATAAATATGTAAACAAAATATAAAAAGTGCAGCATTTTATCACCCTGTAAAATGTTGCTTACGAGTCTTTCAAAACATTCCATAGAAACCTCGCGTGGCAAAGCAACAGGGGCGGGGTGGGGGGAGACTTTGAAGATTAAAGCAAAGAAAAAGCACGCAGTAATAGCAGTGTTGTAAGACCAACAATCAACATTTAATTTATAGTATGACATGTTCATATTGTCGTTACAAGAAATAAAACAAACGTTTGTATGATTGTATTTAGTTTCTAGTCCATTTCACGCAACCTTCTTCTATCTTCGTGAAAAAAATTCACCCCCTCCCTGTCACGGCCCTGTTGCTTTGCCACGCGAGGTTTGTACGGAATGTTTTGAAAGACTCGTAAGCAACATTTTACAGGGTGATAAAATGCTGCATTTCTTATATTTTGTTTACATATTTATTTTGATACCTTTAACAAAAGGGTTCAATTTGTTATTAGTGGAATCAAAATGGCTTGAATGGAAGAATAATAACAAGGCCGAATTGTTGACAACCACATGGGATGACAAAATGGCGCCGAATAGGATCTGCTTGGTGCTTGGAACCTATTTAAAACTTGTTTAAAATGTGCTTAATACCATTATGTCTGAGCTGCCGTATAGTACATATTTGGAAGGATTTCAACGAGATTGCCGATAAACAGCGGAGTAAAGTGGATAATTTGGCCAAATACGTCCATTTGCAGGAGGTAGGCACATTTCAAATTATTATTTCGGTCACAAAGTATTAACTATTTTACAGCAAAGCAGTGATAATATATTTAAATAAGTACCAATTATGTTTCTATAAAAAAGATTTAGGAAAAATGTAATGTAGGTCCACTACTGTTTATCTGAATTTGTTAGTCACAAATTGACGTTTGACTATGAGTATTGCATGGTCATTTCCTTGTGAAATATCAGTGCTAGGCATTTCACACTTGCCAATGACCACCCCTAAAAGCACCATCTCTGAACCATATAAGCACCTCAGAATAGCCAAAGCTTTTATGGTTTGGTACCCTGTAGATAGCACTATGGCGAGAGCGTCGTTTTTGGATGTAGTCAGTTTCGGACGTTTCGCCCCGGATTGGGGTTCGGGCAGCGTTACCATGTCGACCGTCATGGTCAACTTGCCCTAAAACAGTTGAGAATGAAATGCATACAAACTCATATACAGGTCCTAGACTATCTGTATATCAACAAGAAACTGCACTGATTTTGCAACACAAGCTCTTGCAAGCGCTATTCATTAAAATGACATGCATTTGTTAAAATACAGACATTCTGAACTTTATCGAATTGATATCGGCAACTAGAACGGTAAAACAAACTTAGTCCCCCCCCCTCCCCACCCTTCTTCAAAAATATTGTGATCTCCAAAAATCTGGGAGACGCGTGACCAGGAGTCTTTCCTCCAGCGAGGCGCGTAGTGGAAAGAGCCTGGGTACGAGGTTGTTGGTAATAATCTTACAGTATTGCTACGCAATCGCTTACAGATTTTCCCTTGATTAACGTTGAAACCACATTTTGGTGTCACGTGACATGCACACCTCCTGTGCGTGCATGGGGTAACCGTGCCCTCTAGAAAAAGGTTTCGGAAAAGTCGTTCTTCAATGCTTATCTTTTGAAGCTGTGACGAAATACGCCATTTCTTTTAATAATCGCAAATCTTTGAATTTCAAACAGTACATGTATCACGTACGTCATTATCCAGTTGCTAAGCTTCGTTTAGTTTGTTTTTGACATGTCTAGATTAGTATCGTCCTTTCAAATGTTAAAAATCGCATCGCTTTTGGCAAAATATCTGACTTCTTGCGAACAAATCTGTTTTAAGTGGAAAGTTTGGGAAACCGTTTATTTGTCGAGAGATATTCTGATTTCACTATTACAATTTACAGCAAGTAATGTGGGTCAATGTGAAGACTTCATATTTGTGTTCTTGATTTTCAATAACAGTAGAGGGCCAATGCAATCCTAGGTCTGGCCTTGGGAAGGCTTTGGTTCACAGATTGGTTAGCTAGTCTAAATAAATCAGTTAATCACTCTAATACTAGCCTAAAAGTATCAGGCCATTTTCGCTTCCTTAAATATATGCGACTGCGAGTGGAGTACCCAATCAAAAAATTAATTTCACACAATAACAACGACAATCTACTTATAGTTAACTACCAAATGTATCAAGAACAATTGTAGAATCTAATTAGCACTAACCAATCAAAAGACAGATTAATCTTTTTTGTATTCAGGCGCAGAAAAACTCAGCGGAATTTGGCAGACATGCAACAGTTTGTGTCAGGCCTTTTTAGCCCTTCTATCCACCCGCACTTTAGGAAGGGAAGACAGAGTCTGGTACTTGGGCTATGAATGAACGATATATTTTCAAAGAATATAAATGCTTGACGAAGTCAACTCTAAAGATTTTGGATTAGTGTTACAAAACACAGGAATATGAAATTTATTCTTACCTGGGCAAACGGTGTAACAAGTTCTTCAGCTCTCGTCCTGGAAATAAATTAAAAAGAATATAAAAGAATATATTTTGTGTATAATTCGTTGTATTTTTGTTGCATAGATAAAAATTAAGAAATCCTTCGTAATGTTTACTTCATAGGAGAGCGTCTTATTTACAACGCCAGAAGATAAGGTTGCGTATGTCTTCATGTATAGATTGACTCCTTTCATTTCTGAGACCACGAGGACTGTAGTTCGACATAAAAATGGAATCAAATGTCTCTTTGTGGAATTAAGAAGCGTTATCAAAGAGTTGGGTGGTGTTATCCTATATCTAAACCGTATAAACTGCCTGCATATACAGTAGTATCTTTAGGAAGTATAATTGAAATCAGCCAATTTGTATATATGCCGGACATGCAGTTTTCCTAATAGAGGGGTTTATATTAATAAATTCGAAGTAGAACTTGTCCTAAACTACAGACTGCAGAAATGAGGAGAATTGGCCAGTCTTGAAGTCGCAATGTAAATTAAAGACCTTTCTGAAGCATTTTTGAAAATATTAAGACGACCCATTTCGATTAACTGGCAGTATTGCAACAATAAACATACCCTTCGCTGAATGAGGCATGCCTTGGTGACATACATCGCGGTGATACTTCACCTTCACTGTCTGACTTGTATATAAACGATTCCCTCCGCTGCTGTGAATGACCCGACGGTACTGTGAGCTTTTCACATTCAGTTCTATCTGACGAACTCTCTCGTGAATTCTTGAGAGACTTTCTGCTCTGTTTCTCATGCTTTGTCGCAAAACTAAGAAGAAATTAAAAATGCTATATTAGTTCTCCTGAGAATTTGCTTGATATTTGTATGATATTTATAATTATTCTCGAGCCTGGATATACAGTACATCCCATGCTGGGCAGAAAATGAATCAAAATCATCACTCAATCCAATAGTACACTTGGCCTTGGGTCAACAGTCATTTATACAGGCAAAACTGAATGCACTTGCTAACACGTGTATCGTCAGCATTCCACCTACGTCATATCAACTTTGTAATGGTCCTGTCCTTTTCGCTCCACTCAGGATTACTTTTTTGCAATGATATATTATGATAATGTACATGTGGTCATACACGATCGAAGAATTTACAAACATTTACAAATATTTTCCATTCTATGGTGGTCATGCAGGTATCAAAGCTAGAACAGTGCGGCACAGTCGAAGTAGAAAACAGGTTTAACTGTAAACGTATCGAAAACTGACAGTGTCGAGGTACGGGGATATCACTCGAAAATCAACTTTGTGAAAACCCTTAAATTAATATCTTTCAAATTTTTGATAATCCTCCTAAAACTATGGCGAAAAACCACACAAGTCCTGATAAATTCCCAAAAATCTTAATCGAGTTCCTAAAATTGACAAAATCTCGAAAAATCTTGCAGATTCTTAAAATATTTGATAAGGATATCTAAAATCCCCAAAAGGTCCCTATAAAAGTATTGTACACCTTTTTCGACATATATACAGGTTTGATCATGCTTTCGTTGCGAAAACACCAAAAATAGAACATGCACGGCCGAGTTTTTTATTTGAATTCCAAAAGTATCGAACCGAATAGTATATATACCTGCAATAGCAACATAAATTTCAATTAAGGTAAATTAAATTACCTCTGATTGTGCTATTTTTGGGTGAAACTAAAAGGATTTGGAAAATTCGCATTATCTAAAAACAATAGCGATTTAATTATTGCAATATAAAACTACAATTTATAAAACTCTTTACGTGTGTATTTATTAATCAACGCTTATACTGTATATTGGGGAAGTGTGTTGCCTTACAAATTATTGTCGTAATAAAATACTCCTGTTTGCTATTATAAGCTGCGGGGAGTTGGGGGTAATCTCAGACCGATATGTACGCAGGATGTGAAAAACGCTTACAGATATCATGAAGAACTGGTCGACTGACACACAGAGAGAAAACGTATAAGTGCAGATCTAAATAGCTTTAAAATACTGTTATTTAGACAATACCCGAAAATGAATTTTACATTGAATACAAGTTTATCCCATATGATTGTAATTATAATTTGATGTTTTGAACCTCAAGTATAGTACATGTATATATATATATATATATATATATATATATATATATATATATATATATATATATATATATATATATATATATATATATATATATATATACATATATACATATAATATATATATACATATAATATATATATACGATCACTGTGTCAAACTATATGTTTACAAATGTATCCAACTTCTATTTGCAAAGCTATAAGCTGGAGTTCAATGCACAATTACGTTTCAGTTTTATAATCATTTTGGTCGGTTGTTTGTACAGGTTTCGTTATGAATATATTGAATATTTTTTAAGTTTGGTCCAGTTAGATGTTATTGTGCATCACAAAACTGATGGATTCTTCACAATTGCTGTTGTAAACTAATTACGAATGGATAAATTTAAACATTATTTGCTCACATCTCCATTTGTGGTTCACGTTCTTCCCATCAAGGCATGTATGAATTAGAACCTGTGTCAAAATTCTTTATGCGGCAATGGCAACAAAGACACGGACGGGAGGAGGGGAGGCTCCCCTTTTTTCTTGGCAGCCCTGATTCTAACCATACTGGGATGCGTGTGAAACGAACACAAATCCCGCGAGTAATTAAGGTACGCAGATAGAGTATTATCGAGCGAGGGGTTTGCATTTATAATGCATAAATATCTATAGTATATTCTTAAGAACTATATATACTTTGTTATGATACCAGGTTCTTTGTAAAATAACCGTTTCAATCTAAACAACCATCGCGTCACGCGGTGTGCAATTCGAGAAACAAACGAAAGTAATGAGCAGTAGTCTCCAAAATGCGCATGAACGAAAGCTGTTTTTCTCTGCAAACGAACTTTTTCTCGGTTCTATACGTACAATGTTTCATGCATGTTAACCTTTAAGAATGATATGAAATAGCATTGGAAAAATGTAGAACGTTTGATTTGCAAAAATGTTTGGGGTTTCTAATAGGCTATAGGTTTGATGCATTAGAAAAATGCATTGTGGTGTGAAGAAAATTAAACGGATCAAGTAAAACAATTTTATATTTCTTCGCATCTATGTTGCATCAGCAACGTTCTCAATGCCAAACATATATATATATATATATATATATTAAGTTGTCAATCATCTCTTCATAGGCTGCGTGTTTCTACTTAAAAAAACTGACGAGCCATTGAAGACGAAACGTGCGTGTCTACAAAATAGATATAACGACGTGCAGATAACTTATTCTTCCGAACTTGCTGAAATCCAACATATATACTTATAAGCTAAATACAATATATTTTAAGATATCAAAATTAAAATTTTTCATATCTGGATATAATGTTCCAAGCAAGATGTACTTCAAGAGTTGAGTGGTTTACAACATTAACACTATATATGCAGCTGTTAGCTGCTTGAATGTCCATTTTGTGCTTGCCTCATTGATCTTTTCACGTTTTATTTACACTAAACGTTCTCATCTTGGCATATCTTAATTTTTAATTTGTTCTTTTTACGGTTATTGTCGGAAGTATATACAGACGTCTGCATTATCTTATAAAGGTGGTTAACAAGCTTTATGTTTATGCATGTACATTAAAAATATGTAATTATATATGATATTATACTTAATACATACGTTCCAATAATTTGAATGCTCTGAAGCCTTCTTGTCATTATTTATGATATTGCGTTGATAAAACAGGTGAAAATCAAATCGCGTAAACAAGTTATAATTTAAGAATGTTGCATGGCGAACCATTTAAGCAGTCGAACTCACCATTGTAGCCTACGCAAATGAATGTACTTTTCCATTAATATAAATATTTGAAATATAAAGATAAATAGAATTGCCCAGTTTGCAAATAATCTTCCATTGCAACTGAGCTATGAATTACGAAGCATGCATGCAGCAACGACATATTTATGCAAGATTCGTCTTTGCTGAGATGAATGTGCTTGCTCTCACCAAGCGCATGTGCTACATGTATATAATATATTATGGGAGTGTGTTACGTTTCACTAAGCGAGAAATAGTGCTCGATATCATACACATAGAGCACATATAAACTTTTTTAACATCAAAAGGTTGCCATGCACAACAGCCTCTTTCATCCAAGAGGAATCACCATGCAGGTCGCTCCTGCACCGATAAAGCCCTCATATATACTCGACTATACGCACCGATAAAGCCTTCTTACACGGTTTGTAAATATGCATGCAGTGCCATGCATTGCGAGGTATAATCACCCATGCTTTAAGGCTGAAATCTCGAACGGTGGAAGGTGCCAGTGTAGTTTAGCTAGCAACGAATGGAAACTGCGAACCGTATCAAGACCCTCCGAAGGCTCTCCGTCTGGAAGTTAGTGAAGAAGACTATAATGACCCACGTATATAGCCGCATGTATATGTACTTTATGCTGTCAAGTAATCCCCGAGCCCGAGAGTACTAATTCCGCAAGGCTATTTACACCCGGCTGCTAGCGGTTTCAACAGTGGGGTAGTAGGTGGTCATCTCACTGATCTCAAAATATGGCGGTGTGCCAGATGTCCAATGAACAGACTTGGCCCAAATTTCAGTTGAAAAGAATAAAAATATATGAAAAAGTCGTTTCATACAATGAGCTGGAAAGGGAGTTTTTAAATTTTACTTTAAAGAAATGAGAAGAAGAAATATAAGATGAGTAATGATGAAATATAAAGCAAGTTTTTACGTCGTTTATATTAAAAAAGCTCATAAAATTTTAAAAAACCCTCAATTATTTCCAATAGCGAACAATACGAACTGTATGATTGATCTAATTTCGTGGCAACTAATAAAAATACTAATTAGTTAAATAGTTAATCAGCAAAAACTGACAAACTGCATATATATTAAACACAAAATTAAATGAACATTTCGTTAAGCGTTCAAGGTTGAATGTGACCTTAAATTCAAGCTTATAGAGTGAAAAATAACATACCTATACTTATGTATTTTAGAAATTGATACATAGCTAAAAGAGTTAAACTTCATTAATATTTTTTCCGTTTTGCACAAAAAAATTAAAAGCAATGACTAACTCACCGTGAACCTGTGTTCATTGGTGGCGTAATTTAGAATACTTCATGTTAAAAATGTTTAGGAAATTAAAGGCGAGATGTTTCTGCATTATGTATTTCTATAGATACATCACATGCATGCACGTAAATCACGGGATATATTCCTACAAATCTTGTTCATCTTTTTCGAGAAATGATTATTTAATGTGTTTATATGTTGGCAAGCAGTCCCGTTTGGCTTTAATTTAATTTTTACCAAGCTTTTGTAGAAGGATCATGTTAAAGATAGTTTGGGGGAGATTTCGAGAGAACAATTTCAACATACATTTGAGGAAATAAACATTGTTAAGCACATCGTTGGATCGAGTTGATTTTGAAAAAAATCAAATTTGCAATAATCAAAGAGGGTTTTTTCAGTCTAGCCAATAAATATTTTGGACGTAACATTCAAACATTAAACACGTGCAGACTATACTTTACTAGTATATAAGTAATTGTTATTTGCATTCATGCCCAACTAAGTTATTCAGGTTATCATATAAGCTAATAGCATGAACAAATAGGAGAGCATGCATTGTTGCATGCATATACAATGCCGTTATCAAAAACATTTCGTTTTAATTAATACGACTTAAAATCGTCGTTCACGCATAAAAAGTAAGCAACAGATAACAAAGACATAATACTGCAAACATAATATTTTTCTTACAATGGCAACGAAATAATGTTCAAAGTTCGGCTACCCCCCATCAAGGGTTGAAAATAATCCACTACTGACACTGTCAACTTCGTGCAGTCTGCTTCATCCTGATTTTAAAATTTGAGAAAATGAATTTAAATCTATGTATTTGGGGAATATTTGTGCTAATAAATTTAAAAATGTCTGCGGTTATAAAGTTTGCTCTTCGGGTAACTTTACTATTTATGCAAGATTCTAATATTCGAAAGATACTGATCATGTTGCATACATTCATGCAGGTACATTTAATAAAAAGAGTCTTGCAGGCGTGCAACAAAGGAATTTTCCACTTCTCCAATGTTTGTATTTTGTTTTATAGACAAAGTCTTGTAAGGAACAAAAATGTGTTTCCAACAAAAATGTGCTTCCATTCTCTCATGCATGCATGTTTGTATTGTATTTTTTATACAAGCAAAATCTTACCTACATTTGATGCTTACAAATGAATTTTTTCCAAATGTGTATTGTATTTCATATAGGCAACTTGAAATTGAATTCTTGCAAGCTACAAATTAATTTTTCATTCTCTCATGTATTCATCTACTGTTTATTATATATGAACATGCATACTGTATATGTACATGTACTACTCTTAGTTTAGAAACAACAACATAGTACTAGCTAGTTATATACATATATGGAGCGTATATTTCACCTGGTTACATTGAATCATGACCTGTATATTTAATTATTTGCAATTTATTTCATACACGGCGAGACATTACGCTATCTATAATTTAACATGTTCTTTATTATACGGTGCATCTGTTTCAAAGGAAAATGTGTACATGATAACGGCTACACTATCTGAAAGCTTTTGTAAGTTTTATAAGTCGTAAAAATTTCAATAATAGCAACAAATTTCACACACGTCCAAAATTACTAGAAATTTAACACAAATACAGGAAGATGTTATAAGCGATAACAGGCAATACACGTTAGTAATGATGATAAGTGTATATAAGTTCATAGTCCGTTTGTACTAAACCATTTTAACACGCATATAACCTTCTCTACAGCGTTTCAAATAATATTCTTCATTTAAATATATTATGTGCTCCATATCTTCCACTTTACGGCATATGAGTAGTTTTGATTTGTAGGCGATAAATAATTCGTGAGTTATATATTCTTCATTCTGCTTCCTACAGAAAATTAATCCACGCATGCAAAAAGGCTTGCTCGGCATGCATACTACTATTACAAGCACTAGCAGTATTGACTCTTTGAGGACTCAACTGTCGATCAAAAATGATGTAGAAACAACACAGGGTAAAGACATATTTCAAATTACTTTTAAAAAATTGCAACAAAAATATCTTTACTGAGACAAATAAAATTCGTTTCTTAATTTAACGAACTTCGCAAGTGCGAGATAAAAAAGTCGAAGTTTCGCTAATGTATTTGTGCTACGTGATGTGAAAGCTACTATCTACACTGAACTGACTTTATCGCCGACGGCCATCAACCTAAATTTGACCACCAAAAGAGATCTCGGACATAAGATATGCCCGCTAAATAACGGCCTAAAATGTTCACGGCTACGATACGGCTTGATATCGTGTACGTATTTATCAATATGAAAACAATAACAAATTTAACGCAAGCGAACGGTTTGAGATCCGTTGACTCGGAAAGGAGTTTCGAAAATCCATTGCCTCCAATCGTGCCGACAAAATGAGTAGACTCACACGACAATAATAATAAAAAAAAAGATTTTGCTAACCATGAGGTAGTATTCTTTGAGGGCCAAGATCCCATAGCTGAAGACCTGAGGTAAATTACCATACCGAAGTACAGGTGTACCGAACGTGGCCGATTCGAAGATTATATTCCGGAGTTTCGACCATTTGAGCATCAACAACATGGATCTGTGAGTACTCTTCTAAAATCGTTCGTTCTATTCCTTAAAATCCGCGCCAAAAACGGCCAGGATACGAAAATTTAGAAACTTGAACGCCGCGACGGCCCACGGAAACATATACACGATTTGAGTGAAGTTTGCCCGTGAAAATATTATGCGGCGAATTCGGAATAAATTATACTTTGCCATATATGGGCAACGGCTATTGTCCTCGCGGCCAGCTGTATTTGTGTGAAGCTGCCATTCAATTTCGCCGTGTCTGTAGTCTACTCGGTCATTACTCCATGCGGCTTCTAATGAATTCGTATCTATTCAAATTCGCTAATCACCTTTGAAAATACCAATTGCATAGGAGTTCAAGACGGCCAGCCACAATTAGATCTCCAAGCAATTACTACTTCACAAAAATGACTAAACCCCAAACGGAACGGTGCTGTATTGCTAATTCTTGTCCAGCCCTCATTATTTCTCATTTCGTACATAACAGTAGCGGGTACCTTGTAGAGTTTTGAAAATATTATAACGATAGGCAAAGGTAAGTAATAAGAAAGTATAGCCGATTCTTAATAATTAATGAGAACTATACATTGTTATGGAAACGGTATTAACATTTGAATTTACGTGCAATAATTTTACAATGAAAAGAAATGACCTCTTGGGCTAACGTGAATGCGATCTTCTTAGATATTGCCTTAGGTCTTAACTTGCATCATATTCCTGAAGTTTGTCGTGTATGACAAGACATTTCAAAAAGCAGCATGTGGTACGTTCCTCGACAATAACAGCCAACAGTATATTATTGAAGATTTGCTATTTACTACTTGTAAATTCCCTGCATGTTTACCAAAATAATAGTATCATGTATCATTTTAAATGAAATATACAGGAGGCTGCAAAATTTGCGATTATCTTCTGTCACGGACAGAAAGGCCTGTATACTACAACTGATGCACAATTAAGGGACTGTTCATATGAGCCAAACAGGCTCGATAAACTGGACTGACTTGTCTCGTAATATTGCCTTTATATATTTTCGAGATTTGATTCACATGAGCTCGGCGTGCGAGGCTCCCGATTGAGCAAGGCGAGGTCTCCCCTTAAGGGTATGACATGAACACACTAAGTGAATGCAACATTACTCGAATGTTTCAGTGTGTTGTTTTCGATTCAAATAAATCCGGCCGGTGAAAAAATTGGGGAAGGCGGAAATGAAAATTGTGAGCAGGGAGAGTGGGGTATCTTGCATGCGCATCTACTGAAATTTGTTCAAATATAAAACGTTACGTGACTGTACGTCTCCCACTGAAATAATTGCCAATTCTTGCAAGAGCTGTTCGCGCGTGTAGATTGTCATGGCATTGTTAAAATTTTATACCTGCTTACAGGGCCTAACCACATTTCGTATTTTTACAGATCACTTCAAATTGGGTACATTTTAGAATCATGAATGTTAAATTTAATGAAATTCAGTATAAAATTCAGTATAAAATTTTAAATAATCGATTGCCACCTTATAGAACGCAAAGTGAAAGAAAAAGTAACTTCTTTATTTGTGCGTTTTAACGGTATTAATCGAAGAGATTTTGTGAGAAGCCAGGAACAAACAATGTTGATAATTACAAGATAATTTACAATATAATTGTATATAAATACATCATTTTTTCAAATTTTTTTTTACCCCTTTCCCAAGCGATGATCGCACTACGACCGCAATGCATTATCTTAAATATTTTCTTCAAGATGGCGGATTTCGAGCACGATGAAAGGTATGTTGGCACTCTATTTTCTGCAACGTTTCAAAGTGTAAACTTTTTGTTTTTTATTAAAAAGGAAGTTGCATGTAATATTGTTATGCGATAATTTTTGGAATTCGATAAAAAATATCATTTGATTGTAAACTCGTGTATTTTTTCCCAAATACACTGGTCTATTTACTTTTACATGTCACAGGTTAACCGTTCACACACACATTTAAAATTGCAATTGGCATAATCTATGATCATTATTTGTGACCATATTTAACAGCGCCCCCTCAACATTGTATCTTTTTTGGGCTTTTAACTCATGATATTTCCTTTGCTAATTTCAGGTCTTCTTGTCCAGAGTTCATGTTCTCCCGCTATTTTGGGGAAGCGTTCGTGCATCCCAGAGGGGAATACGCCAGGTAAACAAAAAATAAAGCGGCAAAGAAATAATAAACGCAAACGAGAAGAAAAAAAAAATTCAAATGGAAAAAATAATGTGTGTCAAAATGAGCAAGGCACAATACACAATGGCAGACTCTTGGACAACCGAAAAACAGACTTAATGGGACTGTTTCATATTTGACAGGATCAATGACTGTCTGGTAGTGAAAAAACAGTATTTTGTGCTTGTTGGAACCGTTTCTTGTAGTCAGTTGGAGCAAATGGCAATGACTGGAACACGTTTAAATAATTTTTGTTCTCACAAACAATTTTCTTAGGTTTATGCCAATACCCAACCTCGTACCCAGGGCCTTTGCGCGGATCAGAGGCTTTAGTACGGGAAGCAAAGGCCCTGGTAAACACTAGTCATGTGACTCCAAAAATATTCGACATTTCGTAATAATTTAGTTTTCAATCCGGGGGGAGCGGAGCCGATTGATTTTATCAAACATGGCAGCGCGAAGGCGCGATGTTTTCGAGTTTTTATATTATTATGATAAATAAAACTTTCCTCGTGAGATTTAAGAGTGGGTATATATTACCCATGCATTCTACGAGTTTTCTTTCAACAAATTGTGGAATAGCTAACGGTAATACTTATCAAAAATCGAAGGACGAAGATCAAATTGAGAGAAAACTAGTCGAGTGATCTGTCTTTAAAGTTTAAACTGTCTATTTTGTATCCAATGCAGCTGCTTGTGTGCGACGTTTTATAAAGAATTAAATAAACATTGTTGATTATAAGTAATTTTTATGTATTGACCAAAGAATATCACTTGGGATTTTATTGTACTTTTATGGAAGGATAAATCAGAGGGGCCATCTATGGAAACGAAATTCTTCATATGTATTAAACATGTAGTTATCAAAGCAGAATATTTTGAAACAATTAACTGGTCGAGTGACAGGTTGATTTCCATATGTATGTAGTTTAAAATACAGTTGTGAATGAAATTATACACAGTATCTTGAAACCTTTGTGTGTGTGAGTTCATTTCATATTTATTTTTTGGGACGTATATTTCTGTTTGTCTGGAAGAGGGGGGAATGGAGGGGGGGGGGGACTGGGGGGACAAGTCCTGAATCATGAGAAATAATATACAGTGATCTTGAAACAACAAATTTACTATGAATCTTATATCAGTGATATGTGACTTAGGAGTCTTAAAGGCAAATAACAGTCTGTATACTGGGTGTGCGTTCACCTATTTATTTACATTTGCAGTTACTGTACATCGGTTCATGATTTATGAAATTTGAACCAAAGCTGTAACATAATATTAGTCACGGCACAAGTCACTAATAATTTTAGGGTAAATATTTTTCTGAAATACTTCATTTGTGAGTTGCATCTTATAGTATATACTGTAATAATATCTTGAAAAAAAGCTGTAATTGTACCCTGTCTAATAGCTTTGGTTCAATACAATTGGCAACTGGGCTGTCTTAGAATTCATGAAAGACCTTTGCTACAACCCCAAGAAAACATGCCTTTTATCAGGAGATCAATTAAATTCTCTGCTTCAACCAGATTAACCACACAAATATGTTATTGTGACCATTGTGACTACCGACAATTTTTACAAATAATACACCGATAATTGAGCACCGAGACTCATACTGACATATCATACTTTGTTTTCAAATATCTTTGGCTTTGGTTAAAAACCAACAATTACATTCTTAAACATTTTAAATTAACTTCAGCCTACATAATTTCCATGATGGTCAATTATTCCACTTACGGAGAATACTATAATTACTTCTTTCCCATAAAAATTCTTTTGGGTTTAATTTAGTATTATTATTCACAGCTGGTCTAAAAAATTGGGTGTTTTGATGCATCATACATTTGTCAGTAAAATTAAAAACCTGTTCAGTCCTATCCGGCTATGCAGAGTTTTATTTTTATTGAGGAGCTAGGGCTTTAATAAGAGACACAGAGGCTTAATGAATATGGTTACACTGAATTTTATCAGTAAGTAAATTTCAGTTTTTACATCCTGAAACCAAAAATCACCATATTATGCATGAATTACATATCACTTTCACTTGTTACACAGTGAACATACCAAATTCAAACAACATTCACACTGTTTCTAGATGAAATAATCAACCGATTTTTTGTGCAAACAATATAATTCATGAGGGGAAAAATAAATATTTATATGTGTGCAAATAGTTTTAAGATCAGCTAATGGGATTAAAACCAACTTTCCCAGTTATGCTTGGAGCTGATGAGAACAGTTAGTTTTGAACACAAAATGGCATGGGACTTAATTCATCTAGGTGGCAATATATTGCCTTCTCACCAGCACAATTGATCAAGTCATACAGGTCGGCACTAGATCATAGACAAGATACGCACGTATCTGAAACTGCAATACATACGAGTCAGCGGTATTTCAAGTGCAGTAAACTTTATATAAACGCAATAAAGACATCATTACATTTACAATTGATGCATTACAAATAAACAAATCATTACAAATGGAGATTTAAAGATTGTTTATATATCGATAAATAGGTATGTGTAAAGCGAAATATATATTTACTTTTATTACCTATTTGGGGTTAATTTAAAAATCATTTCAAAGGGAATTTTCCAAGGGAAAAATATAGCCCACATGTACGTGGCTATAGTATTTAATATTGGTGACATATAGGAAAACACATGGTGGTCAACTTTGCACGTTTGTCGCTTTTATAGCCTATTATGCCTTGTGGAAGCGAGCAAA